AAATCAAAGCACACTGAACACAGCATTTTGAGCTAATGTTGATTTTATGTCCTGGGGCTGAGTCTTTTGTCCCCTGGTAAGAACCTAGGAATACATCATCAAGCCTTCAGTTCAACATCAAACACTTCTGCTTGAAAAGTCTTGTTTAAAACTACCCTCTGACACAGACTTTTGCACACAGACATCTCACCCAAGAATTTGAGTATGATCTGTACATATTATTTTAAAACAAGTCATTTCTCCCTCTTCTCCCACAGCTAATGCAAATTCTGTGAAGATGGCTGCAAAAAGTAAGAAGCAAAATCAACAGGCAGGAACGAATGAAGTCCCAGTGCTCTTACCTGATGGAATCATATGGGGTTAGATCCTGCCCCAAGCAGGACTAATTCTGTATCTGTGATGCAGCTACTATTTGTACTAGGTGAGTGAGACTTTGCACTGCACAAAACACACTAAAAGGTCCCGTTAAGTGTTGATGAAGAGATTTACATTTCCAGCATGGAAGGAATTCCCACTGAAGACATGGGAAATTTTATGTCTAAATACTTCTCAAAATATAATGCATTACCACTGCCACAGGTGCATCACTAGAGTTACTAGGTTTACCAGCCATATTTATCTTAAGATTGTTACATCTGAAAGAATTTTTAAGAGTATTTTTCTGGTTGTGAAATTTGAAATTGTTATTGTTCTTGGTGTAACAGATAATTTTCTGTAGCAACAACCCTTTTAGCTGCTGGCCTAAGAGAAGCCTGGTAAATAAACACATGAGTAAACAAACAAACAATTTCCTGTAAATCTAAAACTGAAGAAAGTCCTAAAGACTTTGAGATAATATGTTGTTTGAAACACACCTCAGTCTTTCCCAGACTTCAAAAGAAACATTAAGTCCTGGAAGAGATTTGAGAGGCTTTCTTCCTTCCTCTTGGGAGTCTAGCTATAGAGGCAGGACTCAACAGACAGCTTTCAGTACGGGTTGCCCAAGAGACATTTGCTATTACTTCAACCAAGGTTATCTGTTTTTAGGAAACTATGCAGAATTAAAGGGGTCCTTGGTCATAATGCTATATTCTTGCTCAGTGACGAGGACATACAACTCCAATTCCTAAATGAGTTAATGAACTTGCAGTTTCTTTTCAGCAGGTACATCAAGACTGATTAGCCAGCAGTATATAAGACAAAATATTACACTGTCAAAATTTTAGAGCAAAAATTTTCAAAAAGGACCAAAGTAGAATCTTTGTCTGACAGTGACTTAAGTCTCAGCTAAGAGATCTTTTCTTGGAGCTCCTGACCAGAAAGCTATCCACAGAGACAAAGGCGTATCTGGCTGACACATTGATGCAGTTACCTTTTACAGATTTGATGTACAAGCACAGGAGATGGGCTCTTACTACAAAGCCAGCTAAAGAAAATTACTCACTCCCAGTCAAGCCAAACTTAGCACCTAGTATTTTCTAGTACACCACGGAATGCTTTTTTTGCCATAGCTCTGCAGTGACCTTGCATACACTAAGGGCAGCAAAGCAGAAACAAAGCTATCCATCAAAGTGTTCATAAATTCTTAGAGTTCAAATGCTGCATTCTCCCATCACTTAACTAGGAGCAATTGTCTTGTAATGGACAGAGTGACAAAACCAGCACAAAGGAGGTCAGATGCTGGCTCTTTATCTATAGCTGTCCTCACAAGTGTGTGTTTGCTGATCAAAATCCTACCATAATGATTCTGCTTTTGCAATTACAAGTTAGGAGATCCCTGTTAACCTCTTCATTCTGAAAACTGGGATTAAATAGACCTTTTCTATTTCACTCTCACTAGGCATATGGATGTTGGCATAGAAGACTAATTAAGGAACCAAAACAGGACAGGGCAGGCATGATCAGGCTGCTGTAAAACTCAGGAGGTTCTACATTTATTGTAAAGAATAACAACTATATCTACAGCCCTGAGGCAGTGTGTCTTACAGTAGTTAGAAGTATACTGCTTGTAACCTTGCTCAGACACTGATCCTCAGGAAGAATGTCAGGACACTACATGATAGAAGCTGTTGACTGATTTACAGTTTACTGAAATATGATTGTTATATTGGTCCCTTGCTGCCCTCGCAACTTGTTGAAGACAACAAAAACAATCATTAATCTAAAAATGAAATATATATCCTAGATTCCAACAGCAAAACTGGGGGGGTTGGGACTTCGGGGGTAATCGAGGAGAAAAAGCAAGAGATTAAAAGTTTTGCTTTGGAACAGGAAAGTTAATGATTTGGAAATCTCTGGCACTGTATTCAGAGTCTTCTAGATCCTCCTGCTGGCAAAATTACCCAACTCCATCACCTTTAAGCATTAGTCTGACTTTGTACGGTGCTCCTCTTGCTCTTGGCTACTCAGAGTTCTAAGAAAGCACAAAATAACAATTACCAGAGCAGATCATCAGCCATTCTACTACTAGAACTGTGACCATGCTCTCCTTTATGAATTATCAGCCTTCCAGACAAAGCCCAGAGCATAACATGAGACAGCAAAATGGATTCAGAAACAGGGGGTAAACACAGCCACCTTTGACTGCTAATTCTGACATTTGCAACCAAATAGCAGGGAATTGGTTCCACTGATGATGGACATCCCGAATGAATGTACAGCAGAAACATGGGTCCTGATCCTTTGCTGGAGTGAATAGTTAGAATTTTGCTGTTTTTTCCACACTGGGGATTGGGTCTCAAAAGCACTCTTGTTATCTTGTAAAAGACAACAGGGAAAAGGTTGTGGTTTTGTTTTTTAATCTGCCTCAAATGCTACTACTGCTTCAACTTCTTTGTTTATTTTCCATCTATGAAGGAATCAAATCAACAACCCAGTAACAAACCCATTTCTTCTTTCTACTGAGCAAAGCTTTGAAATACTGGCTGAATTTCTGCACTTTTCTCAAATTTAATAAGTTTTGCTCAGTTAGGAAGAAAAATGCTTAGCTGTCAATAAATGCAATGATTTTTATTTTACTATGGGATTTAAAGGCTTTTACTCTCACTATGCAGTTCATACTGCTACTTTTATCTCAATCTTTCAACCTATTGCTGTAGGACATAGGTAACTAACTAGCATTAATGAAGACAGAGGCTGGTACCTGTAGTTTTTTCCAAAGTGAATATAGAAGGCACCTGGGACACCGCAAATGATACAAAATCATATTTTGCATAAAAGCACCTTTAAAGTGACTATGAAAGTGAGGTCAAATATATGAGTTAGAAGCACAAATACCATTTACTTTTAATTTAATGTAACGTGCTCCCAACTTCCTTTGATACTGAAAATCCCATCTTATACCTTGCTTGTGAAGTGTACAAAGAAAGAGAGGTGTTGAGGGTAAAGAAATTAATTTTCTTCCCCTTAGATTTCATCTCTCTGAAAAGTGCATCAAACTCTTTCAAAGATAGGCTGGAGGGAGAAAGGGGGAGAGGGAGAGTACAAAAGAACATTTGGAACTGTAGGTTCGCATCTCATTGAGAGGAACAATTTATCAGAGCTGTGGAGCTGTCAGTCCTTGACATGATAAGGAATAACACGAAATGAGTAATGTTTCCTCTAAGCCTAGTTCCTTTAATTACAAGCCGCTTCCTTGCAGAAGAGAGACAGAAGATGCAGAAACACCAATTTCATGCACTTGTGCCTGAATAATGTCTCCGTGCTGCCTTTTCCAGATGGCAACCTTTTCACTAGAGGAACTAATGATGTGGGCATATTTAGGGAAAAACCAATAACGGAGTCTTTAACCTTCAACAGCAAAAAGCATGTTGTACAGAATGTTCCTTGGGATACATTTACAAATATCAATTACATTGCTCACTGAGGTGTAATCAGCTGTAATAATCAAAATTAATTTTAAAAAATAATTAAACAGACCCCAGGGCAAATAGTCGATGCTCTTGTAGTATGACATCACAGTCTACATATGTACCTGGGAAGAACTTGCTCACTCTGTAAGCAGCAGAGAGATTTTAAGGAATGAGAAGGATGCTGTGGTATACTGAGAAAAAAACCTGCATCACAGTAAGGTACTATCAGACACATTACTTGTATATTATAGCCTTCCTGATCACCACACCTGGAAGTGGACCAGTCATCACTGGGGATAAAGCTGCAACCTGCTACAGCTTGAGCTAGAGGGTTAAGACTCCCTAAATTGATGCTGTAACAGAATGTCTCCTCAGAAGGAGAAAAAAAAATCTTAACAAGTTTAGCCCTGCAGTAGCACAAACAAAGCTATTAATATTCTGTCAGTGCACTGCTGTCCTACCCTATAGTTGGTTACTCTAGCACACAAGTAATAACGAACTGGTGCTTTTTATTTGTATTCTTGACAAATGCCCAGCAAAAATATGGATATGTGTCTCTCTGCAACAAAGGAGGTTGTTACACTTGGAAGAGATAGTCCAGCTGCACTGTTGGCAGTTGGAATGCTGCATACCTTCTGGACCCATCCCTGGTTTATATAAGCACTTGTCTCCTTATCTCTTGAGGTTAAACTAGATTTAGACCTTAAATACCTCATACTGAGTAGACAATGAAATTACATCATGGTAATACCTGATCCTTTCTATTAATTCAGTGTCTGAAAGACAAGGTTTACATAAATGATGTAAGTCAAAAGCAGCAGCAAAGCCAGCATCTCCACGCCTTGCTCTAACCCAAGCAAAGCCCTGTGAACACAAGCATGACAGGTTGCTTAGGTTTCGTCTTTCAAGTGCAATAGTTAAACCTCATGCAAAAAGTATGCATTAATATATTATGTGTTAAGCCTGTCAACTAAAATTCTTCAGATCAATGACTATTTCTTAGTGATTATTTCTAGCAGTCTAGAAAAAGAACCTTAACTGCAATAGATGTCTAGTTTATAACGGAACATCAACACACATGATCAGAAGCCTCCCAAGTCCAAACCTTCCAGAGCCATATCAAAGGCAGAGCTGGTGACAGAGACAGAAAAGACAAAAAGCAGAAGTTACCTCAGATTTACATGTCATCTCCTTTGTGTTTCGGCCAGGCATAAGCCTAATAGCTGAAGAGAGGCTTTCACTCCAGGAACTGTGCTTGCTCTGTGAGAGGCCTGGCCCTGCTTTATTCTGAAGAATCTTTTTTTCAGATGCTGTTGGACAAAACAGAAAAAAAAAGCTTGTAAGACTTATAGTTGAACCTGTGGGAAGGTAGATGGTTTGTATCCACATTACACAGGACACAACATGGCAGAGTGTCTCACTCCAGCTTGCTTGTCCTTCTATTTATAAAAGAAGCATTGAATTAAAAGGTACTTCTCAAGTCCTTTTAAAAGCCTCACAGAGGTCTGCCATAGACCAGTGTTGTTATACAGACATGAACTCTGAATCCCTGCAGCACTACACACATTGGGATGCTATTCTTCACCCAAATACCCTCCCTTTTAAATTCTCCAATGGGATATAATTGCCTAAGATTCCTCTTTCTTGCAGTACAGCACAAGCCCTACAACATAACCAGATGATTACAGAAGGGCTGGAGCATGACATAGAAAGCAATTACAATCCTGGATAAGAGAAACTGAGAATCAGTGGTTTTCCAATAAATGCTACATTTACTGCAATGTCTTTGCTTACTACAGTGAGTGTTCCATAAGAGAACAGAGACCTATCAAGTGTTGCCAAGCTTTTGTCATAATTTCTTCCCATAAAGGAGTGATCTCCATTATCTTCATGTCCCTTTCTCGGTCACTTCCTTTTACAGAAAGATCCATCTTGTAAGTGTCCTCCAGAGCCTGTCGCCTCTGAGAAATTAGCTGCTTCCAGATGATTTCTACCATTCCCAGAATCTCCTGATGGACTAGGAAACAAAAGAAACTACAAATGAAGAATCTTTTTTTGTGTAACAAGTCAAGCAGCAGATAAAGTAAAAACATCTCACTGGGAAGAGCACTAGTCCAGAGTAACTGCTGGTGTCAACAGAATTATTCTGTCTACTGCCTCCATCGGTTCTAAACCAGACTAATTAGTCTAATACAGAAAATAGCGGGACATTTATTTTATTATATTTTAACTCTTTGAAAGAAACAACTAGGAGTGACAGATGATTCTAACTGGTTTCTACCTTGGAAACCATTTTATCAGAATTCTGATGATCTTATTATCATACATAGAGTGCTAAAACATCCTGTTGCCAAAGATTATTGGAGATGGTGGAGGGAAGGTAACCAAGTCATGAAACAATTTGACACAGCAAGAGGATGTGGTACAAGAAATGCTGAGCTTTTCTGCTGTATTTCCCTGCAAATCAGAATTATTTGATTGCATCATATCAAAGCCAATATATATTTTGAAAAAAAGCATCACTTTGCTGTAATGTGGATGTCAGATGTTCAGCTGACAGCCTCACTCTGAATCCGGCCCAAATTTTTTCTCAGTGTTTCCCTTAAAAGATCAAAATATTTCTTCCTGTGTACAACAGACAGAAACAAGCTCTGTACAGGCTTGGAAAAAATGAAATAGAGCTACAAAGAGTATGAAGCCAGGCACTGATACCGACCACAACATGAGGAAGAGATCTCTACACTGGTATCCATTATTCTTGAGGATGTGGGGTGTGAATTTTGCATAAAAAGGTATGATGTGAACAGAAGTCATTTGTAGCACAACTTTCCTTTGTCTATGCTGTGCCTGCAGTGCCTATACACCAAAGAGGCAATTAAGTAGCACTTGCATAAGCTGTTCTGAAAACTGTTTAGGCCAGACACTTTGCTGCTCTGTAAGACAAAGGCAACATCTGCCATAAATTACCATCATCTGGAGTAGGCAGGCTGCCCTTTTCCTCTTCACTGGGTGCAAGGAAAATTTGGTGATATGAAGCCAGCTTTGGTTTTGCATCCACCCCAAAACCTTCTGGATTGCTGTGACCAAAAAAAAAAAAAAAGGAGGACACATGAGCAAGCCAGACTTAGAACAAACTGAGAATAGTGGAAAAAGCTTCCACTCCTACTTCATTCATTTATTAGACCAATATTCCCAGATTGAGAGCTTACACCAATCACGTAGTAGTGAAGAATTTACAGGAAGTGAGAACTAAACCACAGCCAGTCCTGTTTTAAAAGTCAAGGAGCATTCATCAAGACCCTATGGATCGCACTGTTGTACATGCCTTATCCCGGCACTTCTCAGTGCACTTGTGTCTACCATACACCTCAGTTAGCTGGAACACAGGGTTGTATTGGCAGCCACAGTGTACCCAGCTTTCTTGCACCTCCCTTGAGCATCTTGTATGCCACCTCTTTGCTCTGAATTTCTCCACTAGAGGTATCTTCCATTATACAGAAACACTGCCTTGCCATACCTTACACCTGGACTTCCTAGTCTAAGTTCTTTACACCAATGATTGTTCATTCAGTTTATAAGGCACTCAGGACAAAAAAGGTGCAGAGTTTCCCACCATGATGTTAGTGTCACGTAGATATGATTATAATTCGGAACATCACCACAGCCAAAAAGAGTTAGCGCCACTCTGGGGGGGATGTGCAGAAGGTATGTCAGATAATTTACCATTCAGTAAGACACCAGGAATTTCAGCACAGCAGTAATACTTACAATAGTGCAACAGGCACTATTAAGGCATCCAGACAATGTGGACTTAGTCACAGAAGTGCTGTCAATAACATATTATATAGCCACTAATAACATACTGTGTTCTTTCAATTGTAAGCAGGCACTACTACATGAAAGAGTCAAATCTCTTGTGTATGTAAGGCTTCAATTTTTATTTCTGATTTTCTTTTAAATACCACAATACTGATTCCCTGGATCTGCTAAGTTTGGCTTTTGGATGACACCAACACTTCTGCAGGGTTTTTTTTTTTTTTAATGTTTATGATCTTGCTACCTACAAACAATCCTTTCCCTATCTCAACAGTTTGGCCTGGAAATTCTTATCTGACTGGAATGATAATCAAGACCTCAGGAAGTGCAGCTCATTTCTGATGTGATACTGTATTAATGGATCTAATTCAGACCATCTAAGCAGCACAGAATTTTTTCATTGAAACAACAAACATAATCATGGTGAATAAAACGCTAGCCAATATTTGCTTCTTTTGACAAAACAGACTTGTCCAAAATAACTTCCCAGCTTACATTAACAAAACTAACTCTGACACATCACCTCTAAGAATAGCAAACAGAATAGGAATGGATGCTCTAGCCTTACACAAGTCAATGGCAAAACTCCCAACTTAAGTATTAGCAGGACTTTGCAGCTCAGATCCAAGTAAAAATAACCATAACAGAAAGATTCACAAGATCCTTGCACAATTTTATGTTTTAAATGTACCCACATAGAAGAAGCTGCTGGATCAGAAAAAAAACATGTCCCTAAATTAGTCCATGCAGATGCCTCAGAGAATGGCCACCTGCATGCTTGTGGAGTGATTCTAGCCCACATCCCAGGGAGTTTTCCAGATTCTCATTTTAATGATGGGCTTGTGAGCCAACTCCAGTGAAATCAGTTCAAGCTTGTTAACCGCAGTTACTACTCCAAAGTGAGTAAGCTGCTGGAAGTGCTGGATGAGTAGAACAGATATACACAGATGTTTTGGTTAATAAAGAGTGGCAATTAAATCTATGTGCAAATTTAGTGATTCTACTTAGACAAACATGCAAGCTCGTATCTGTGTCTCTAAAATGAAACACCCTTTTCAAAATGAAAAATTGGAATTAAGGGTTACATTATTACCATCGACTGTGCCTTGATTACGACACCCCCAAACACACATACTAGACTGACTCTGAGAAAGAGAGGTGGTAAGAAATTTTCTGCTCACTAGTGTTTCAGGGACAAAATAACCTTCTGATTGAAGAACAGTTTCTCTCTTCCATTTTCTTGCTCAAAGGCAATCCATTGCTTCCGGAATACTGAGCACATTAGTAACCTACTCCTCCAAATTAAATAATTAAAAATCACATTAAAATATTTCTGTTGTGTTTGGGGTTTTTTTTTGAGTATGAGGAAAAACACCATATTTCCCCAAGTGGCTTTACTCTACCACTTTAACAGACACCAAATCAGAGAGGAAGGTTTGCCCCATTTAAAGCAGAACTGTGCTTTAAACCCCCACAGCACTGACCCCAGTGGGTCAAATGCTTGCCAGGATACCATAGATATACTACATCCAAAGTCCTTAGTCTGGCTGAATCCAGCTCAATCTCAGCTTCTAGTGATTCCCCAAAATGGATACAGCCTACTTTTTGTGAAATCTCCCCCTCTGCACCCACTCCCATAGATAACATACAGAGATGCAAAGAAATGTTATCCTGAGATGAACATTTGTTTGTACCTGCCCGAATTCAGTTGGCAAAGGCAGTACATTAGGCAGATGATGAAATTATTATTTGAGTTGTAAGTTGCAAAAATAATGTCCCATTGCTCCTGTAGGACATTGAGGGTGTTCAGGACATTAAATTGTTCAGGCAGTGATTGTTGTGGTCTGGATAGGCAGGATAGGATGGCTCTGTTTAGACAGCTGTATAGAGCACTGAGGATAACTTCTTTTTGAGAAACGGAGCTTTCTAAGACCTGTGAAAACACAAAAGAGCAGAGTACTTGTCTTGCTCAAAAGACTCTCTCCCCACGGATCTGCTCCTCTCATTACATTTAACCTATTGCAAACTTATTTCAGCAAAATTCCTGTGAACTACCTGTTAGATACAAATTCAATTTTCCTGTATTTCTGCTTAAGTCCCTGGAATTGCAGAGGGGATTACTTTGTTCCTGTTCAGCAACATGTACATAACCAACAGACAGCAGCACAAAAGAGCTAACTATCCCTTCTTTACGCTACACCATCTAGCTCCGATTGTCATTTAGAGCCGTTATGTATTCATGCAAGAAAACAGGAATAATCACAATCACCAAATGGATTAAAGCCATCTTCTTGAGAATTATGGTATCACGACCTCAGTGTGAAACAGAGCACATTACAACATGTTGATAACAGATGGAAAAAATTTCATGTGACTCACCCCCATAATCTGTTTGGCAATGAAGATCAGGATTTGCTTGGGGTCAGCAGCAAACATTCTGCTGTTCAGCTTCTCAACCAGCTTTTGGGCAAAATAAGCAATATTCATCATTGATACAGATGCAGTTGATTCCGAAGTGCCATGAGGATCACTGTTCCCTGTAGAGGATACAAGAAGGTTGATTATTCCATAATGAGCTGAAATGCAAAAAAAATGTGAGATGTGAGGCTGCCAGAGCTAAGAAGGAACAGTCTCATGCCATAATGTCCCAGAGTTGGGACATATCTAAGAAAACTCTAGGTCTAGCCTGCTGAGCTATACTGTCCTTCTAGTTACTGTTCCCAAAAGTACCCAGCAGTTACAGCTACATGCTGAATACCAGCTATTGATCTGATTCTCACCACTCACCCCTCAGTCTTGTTTTCCCCTCGCCTTGGCTGGTAACACAGAAGACATCCATAGCAGACAGTAAAACTTTTGTCTGAAAATGTCTCTTCTGCTCAGTGGTAGCATCCTCTGGAGAAACCTATATAGTGACCATATACATATTTAGTACATCAGAAAAAAAGCCAGGAAATCAGATTCAAATTCACTTTCAGCCTGTATCCAAAGGCCCTTAATTTTCTTGGATCCTTGGCAGGCTATGCCTGTCAAAAATTCAGATTCAGTATAGGTTTTGCTCCAACAAGCGAGTAGAAATCCCAAGAGACACTCACTACTATCTGACATAATTCAAAATGCCCAATATTTCCCTTCAACACCCAGGCACCGTGTAAGGAAGGGAAGAGGAAAAACAGCACAAAAAGAGCAAGGACAGCTAATCCACCTCACTTCCATGCTTTAGCCCTTGCTGTGGGCATATGAAACAGTTGCTGGAAGCTGAGAAGTTATCTGTGACAGCTACTCCACAGTAACAAATAAATGCAGAGACCTGGTGTACTCATCCATGCACAGGCAACAAGGTACCTCTCATACAGAGTTCAGCAAGAGTGCTGTGTGGATAGTTTCTGGGTGGCAGTTGAAATGGCAGAGCCCCATACCCTAGCTGGGAAAACAAGAAATCTTACATAGGCCTACACTCTAGCTGATAGCCAGTACAAATGCTCTCTGCACACTGAAAGCAAAACAAGTTTCTGCACAGGGCCAGAACCCAGGTTTGTGGGTGGTTCTCAAGAGATCTTGCCCTTGGGGAATTTCAGCTTCATTTAGAAGGCTCAGGATTCAGACAGGCAGAAGATCCATCCTCTATTTTAAACTGTACCAAGACTTGGGATATTATTGTATATATTTTTAGGAAATTGCTGCTCCGCAAGGTGATTTAACTCCTAATAGTTGCAGTCAAGCTTATTTTCATTACTATTTGTATTACTAAGCTAAGTTTGCATACGAACGCACATTTGGGACACCTGGACTATTGACAATTTGGAGCTGAAGCCTAAGTTTTCCATTTTCCCTTTCTTAGACTACTCTGACTCTTTACTCTGCTGTAAGTGAGGTTGAAATTCATAACCCAGACTCAGCTGCTATAGCTTGTATCAATCTGTCCTAAAAGTGGAAATAGTTGGTCTGGTTTATTTGAGAACTGAAAAGAAATTGTCTCAAAAATCAGTACGCAGGAATACTTCAGTCTTCTGTTCTCAGCAAATCCAAGGGCTGCTCTAATGACAAGCAGGTATTACTAAGGAAAAGCGAATTTTATTTTTTTTTTTTCCCCACACTTTACTTCAATGTTAAATGCTTCCTGAAAAAAAGCCTGTGTTGTTGTCTAGGGGCAGCATTTTCTTAGTTCACATGTATGCAGAGCAGGCAGAAAAGGCCTTTCTTTATCATTGGAAATGTAGGAATTCTGTTCCACTAAGTAAGCTGTCCAGATCTGCCAGGCTGTAGTGCATGCTCTCTCAGAGCTGGGATCCCAGCCCTATCCCAGACTGCTGAAAATGCAGACTGAATACACCTCTTCATCAATGTTAGCAGTTTTTTTCACTAGGCCACTAGCAGGACACCTTCATCCTGCCACCCCCAGTGCAGGGTAGAGCAGCAAAGCCTGATAACTAGTAGACAGACCTCAAGAAGGAGCTCAAGTGGATGCCCTTGTTTGTTTGCTGGGATGTTGAGAAGACTGTCCATCAGGAGGACTCGCACAAAATCCCACACTTGTTTCTTGGCAGGGTGTGGTAGGAGCAGGAGAGAGGAGGCATCAACACAGCCTTTCCCTTCAGCAATGACTGGACCATCAGGAGTCAAAATGCTTTCAGAGCCTCTCTGTGAAAGCAGACAGCAATGCATTTTAACTCATAATCTCCTTCAAACTGATTTTTCCTCCTAGCAACCCATCTCTGATTTGGAGGGCTTGTACTGGCTCAGATGCACATACCTTGGGTGGTCCAGAATGGAAAGCAACCATAGCCAAAGATTTCAAGAAGTCAGGACAGTGCCACACAGGGTCCTGAGTATAACTGTGATAGATCAAGCACAGAAACTGGATAACATTCCCTGGATAGGCCATCTCCCAGGAGGCTTCTGCATCTGCAACAGGCTGAACACAGGCAAATGTCCATCTAGTAAAGGCAGCATTCCTCTCATTCATATAAACTTGTCCTTGTTCCTCTCTAGGGATTCCTAAGCAACTAAATAAACATAGCATGGCCACACAGAAGTCAGGCAAGGCACAAGCAGCCAACTCCCAGCTTGCAGACTGAAGATACACCCAAACAGAAAGGTGGCATATCCTCTTCATCAAGAACAAACAAAATAGTAATGCTGAAGGTAAGATACATGTCTGTATTCAGTAGTTGTCCAACATGAGCCCATCACATCACCTGCTATGTAACACAACCAGGCCAATAGCTGTGCTGGTGCTCTGAAGCCCCTGCTCACTTCACGTTCACTATTGCCCTGTGAGGGCAGAGGAAGGCTAGGGGTTAAAGGTAAAGACTGACATCTGATACACTCAGGCAGTCTATTCTGACATTCACACTGTACTTGCAACAAAAGGCTTACCTTGTCCACAGTGACTCTAACCATTTCCAGCAGTAGAGCAGCTGCCTCTGCACACAATCCAATTTTGAGGACATTCTCTGTAAGATGGTGCTGCAAGATCCACTCCAACATAGAGTCAAGATCTTTCTACAGCAGGAGGAGAGATATTTCAAGAAGAGATGGGAATTATATGATACAAGAACAATACCTGCTCTCTCCACATCACAAAAAAAAACCCAAAACAACTTTACGTCCAGAAGCTACTCCCTCTCCTATTAAATGTGTTTCCACAGGATAGCACTAATGTATTTTCCTCTTCTGAAATATACTTCTGGCACTGCCATGGAAAAATGCCTTATAGCTCCTCAGCACACTGGGGGAAAAGTGTCCAAATCCACTAACTCTGAGATTTTAGTGAGTATTGATAATGTAAGAACAGACAGGGAAGCTAATCTGAATTACCTTCTGAAATATAGTAGTTAAATAGCATTTAGTGCCTGCATGAGTAAGTTTGTTCTGAACACAAATTTCCTTAAATCAAAGTTAACTTGCTTTATTTTTAAAGTATGAATAATCAATTTTAACTATCACAGAAAACAAGTAGATTTAACTTGCTTGAGAATCCCTTCCCAGAAAAGGCCACAAAACACCAAAGTAATAAAGCAATGGCAGCTTCATACTTGTTCACTGTTTTTTTCTTTTTCCTACCTTGGCTGCTTCAGGTGGTTCAGACTGGGGAGTTGCCAGAAAGAGCTCTGCCATGAGCAAGTAGATCTCAGGAATGTGGACATGATCAGTCAGACATCTTTGCAACACAGAAAACCCAAAAATCAAGAAGAAGCCATTGTCAGGCGCTGGAGGATGATTTTTTAAATTATCTTTAAAGGAAAAGAAAAGGAAAACATTCTCAGAAAGTGTCAAAAAATGAATGCCATATCAGAGGAAGGTTTACTAACCCAACTTTATCCTCATTTGTCTGTGTCCCAGGCCACCCGGTACTCTGCTAGACTGCAACATCAACTGTTAACAAAACTTCCTCAGACTAACACGTAACAATTTTTCCCACTATCACTTTTGTTACAGGAGATTTTCCTTGAATTATTCTTTTTCCTTTCTCTTCCCTTTCTCAGAACCACAGGTCTAGTTATCAAAAAGCAAGCTATACAAATCTTAAAGAAACCAAAGGTTTCAGGGCACAAGCTGACATCTGAACAACTCACAGGCTTATCAACGAGCCTGATCTTATGCAAGACAAAAATGCCCATCTTCCTGCAACTGCTAATCAGAAATGCCAACTATTGTGCAAGACAGAAAAGTGATGCTTTCCACTCCTCAGCACAGAAAAGCTGAAGTATTAGTACAAAGCTTGCTCTGGAAAGTCATATCAATTCTTGCTCTACTGAGATCAGTGGGAATTCTCCTACCACCTACTTCAGTTATCCCCTATCACTGAGCTGAATCAAGGCATTGTTTTGGGAGCACTAAACCAACACATACCCATTAGAATACTCAACCCCACAGAGCTGTTTTCCAGCCAGCGCCCAGCCACTATCCCCTCCTTGAATCTGTTCAGCAGCAAACGATTGTGAAGGAAGCACAGAAGTAGCTTCATTCCTAGTACAACTGTGCTAGAGTGCAGGTAACTCTGTGTGAACAGCAGAAACCAGTCTGGCCCCAGTGCCAAAAATGTCTCTTCTTGTTCCCTAGGAAAAACAGGAAAATGAAAGCACATGAGAGATGGTGAAAGACAGAAAGGAGAATTTATTTAAAATTATCTCTAAGTGATATAGAAGCTCAGGTTTCTCTAGGAAGAAACCAAAAATCAATCTAAGTAAAGGTTTACTACAATACAGAATTACAAAAAAATTAACAGTACTCATCCACACAGTTCATTCCACTTAATTCCCACTAAATCCAACCTTACATTACTGTCAGAAAAACAAGCTCATTAACATGAAGCTCATTCTGAGATTGTATGTCAATAACCGAGGTAAACTGCATCACAGACTAGCACTTTCAACCTATGAAGTTCAAAATTACAGTCCAAGATATGTTAACTAGTGAAAATGCAGTTACATCACCCAGAACTATGAACTCTGCCTTTCAGTCATACACGGCAGAACTTATAACAACTGCATGTTCATGGTTACAACAGAGGGGTGCAAGTAATCCCACATTAGATTGAACTGATTTTCAAAGACAGCTGGGATTTCTTCAATGCTTGCAATGAAGAAGAAACAGCAATATCTGAGTTCCTCCTTTGAGATATTATCTGAAAACATTAAACTTTTCTCAAAACGGAGATCAGATTTGTGATGTGATCACACAGCTGTGTGAATGCCAGATAAATCACTGACAAAAACTAACTCTGAATCCAGTCTGCTCTTACTATTTTGTTGAGACTCAAATATTATCAGTGTGTTTGGTCCTGGTCAAATACCAGTAAAGAAGAAATCTATAAGACAGAGACACTTACCCACACCTTCTTAAATAGTTTCTACTTACTCAGAGGACAGATGAAGTTTGTCTGAGCGCATTACATCTAACAGCATCTTCAGTAACTGGTTTCGAAGCCAGATTGTCTTTCCAGATGTTTGGCTTAAGGCTACAAATATCAGAAAGTAATAAAGAGTAATGGAGACAAAACACGTATTGCATTGCTTTGATCAACAACCTTGTTTGCACCAGATTTGCCCAGTGGAAGTACTTATATCAGCCTTTTGCAGAGTAAAAAGTTGCAGACATCAGATTTTACACACCAGAATTCCTGCTAACATCAGAAACAACCAGTGCTTACATTGTCAAAAACCTCTCTTTAGAGTTACTTATTCAGACTACATGTTGAATAATCCACAGGAGGCAATCTCAGGTTAAGCGAGAAGGAAAAGTAAACAGCCAATCTGACTTGTATTGCCTAACTGTACTGTCCATATATATAAACTACAGTTATCAGTGTCTCCTTAACATAATATGTTGTTTAGAGGTGCAATAACCAATATAATCTCAACTGAAAGATCACAACGAAAGAGCCAGCTGACTGGAAGTTCCCACACACAAAGTTGACATAAATACACTGACACTTTAAAAGCTGCAGAGCTCCACATTATTTGCTGCAACTGTAATTGTAGCAAAGTGTCCACAGGAAATCAAGAATGACTAGTGAAATTTTATTCCTTGCAACAGCCCAGTATGTTAGTTTTGGGGTAATTTCAATTTAATGGCCTTCACCTCTGCATACATCTGTCAAATTCAACATTGTGTAGGCTCTGGACAATGCAGTTAAAGTACTGCTGACTTATTAGTAGAGAGAGGACAAAAGGGGAACTCCCTTAGCAGGAGGAGGATCTTGCTTCAGGTCTGTCCTTCCTGAATATACACATAGTGACATTGACTTCACTGTTCTTCACTTCAGACAGGCTTTGTAGCAATGCACGTTTCCCACACAATTTCAGGTCATCTCAATGCAGCCTGTCCCCTTCCAGACAAAGTAATTTGAATTGTGCCTCTTCCTGCCACTGTAGGCAGAAGCACTATGTTGCATTTAGGGTTCATCATGCCTTGGGGAAGAAGAGAAATATTTAGCTATCAATCAGAACACATATACCAAAGGTATCTCTTCACCTTCATTATGCAACTCAGACACACCATCCAGGCAAATCTGATTTTCATCCACAGAAGAAGGTTTCAAAGTGTAAACAAGGAACAATCCAATCCTTGAGGAGAAAGAGGAAAGCGGTTTTGGTCAGCAGAAAGACATTAATTTAATTACTATGAGTTTACATGCAAATCTCAATACTTAACAATGACTGTTAATGACAACCACTGGAAATCCTAATTGCTGCAGAAATAGGCTTGAACTAGGAATGCAAAAGTTCATAAACTAGGAAGCAAATGAAAATTACATCTATCTATAAATGCAAGTAATATCTATTCTACTGTAGAAATATTCTTCTCTTTCTCTTGATTTTTAAAGGTCTTTTCACCATAAGGAAAGCAATACTGAGTTAAGCAAACTGTTCATATAAAAGATTCTGAACTGCCTGTAGCATTCAGATATCACTGTTATCACCACTTGGTTTCCAAGAATATAGAGGAGAGCAGAGACCTCAGTAGGTACTCAGGGAAGAGGACTGGCAACCTCTTTTCACCTGTAGTATGCTTTAACACATTACCTGGTTCTAAGGATAGATAGATTAATGTGGCATGGACACTCAGAGAAAGTGCGTAACTTCCTGCTGTCCAGAACAAGGACAGTTCTTACGGGACAGAACACCACTTGTTCTGCAGGAACAGTCCATACATCAACTTCCTCTAGATGCATCAAAAGTCTGGGATCAGCAGAAACTCTAGCACCTTTCAATACTGCTGAGGCCTCCTATAGTCTCTGCTCTCCTGGAGCTGGAAGGATAGGGACTATCTTTATCCACTTCCCAGCACTCACGGACCTGACAACCAATAAAATTACCATGGAATATCAAATCATGATATTTTAAGAAAAAAGCATATTCACACTCCTTACCACATGGCAAATTTGATATACTAAATCCACTACTCACATCTGTATGAATAAAAGAATAGGCTAACTCATACAAGCCCACAGTAAGAACATACATACAGGTAATTCCACAAAACAGCTGGCAAGCTACAAGTTCACTTATTAGCTTAGTCCACAGTAACTACTTGAGGTGCTCATACACTTCAACAGAGCTAAAGATTGGCTGCAGAGACCACAGGTTCGACACACATCTGTTTCTGTGCTTTATTTGGACAAAGAACTTTGAAAACAGAGCTGTCATTTGTGCAGTCCATTTCCCTGGAGTTAGGTGTAGACAGTACTGTGTAGACCTTCCTCAGTTCATGGGCTACAGGATAATGCAAGTAGGCTGGGATTATATAAAGTAGACCAGTATTTACATTCTGTGGAAAGCAAGTAAGGATTTAAATTCTTTGCTTCATGAAATCCTGAATAATGTATGTTACCAGATTGAAATTCAAGAACAGAAAGGATAGTTACTGGGATATAAGGCAAGCCAACAGGATTACATACATAGTTGACTGAGGCCAAGTTGCAATACTATAGCAACTGCAATGTTTTCAGGGCAGGCTTTAATGAAACCATATATTAAATACAGACTTTGAGTACTCCTAGTCATACGAATAGAAATGTTTGTCCCATCATTGTAAGGGTCATCACTCAACCCATTCTCACACAAATATGAGTAGACAACTCTGTTTTGAAGGTATGAAAGAGTGAGCTTTTCATTAGAGGGGATTCCTGAACTTGCCAAAGATCTGGGGTCTCCTATGAAAGATGAGGTAAAGGAACATCTATTATAGAGCTCTCTCCAACACTGGCGGGAGCATAGGTCAACTGCAAAATGAGAAAAAGCTATAGACTTGAAGGTTACCTGAGAACATCCCTTGTGTTAAAGTATCCTTGCAACAGATGGGAGAGAATAGTGCAGGCCACAGTGATCTTGGAGTTACTGATTTCAGGATCATTGAAGAGGAAAAGAAGCTTGGGCACCATTTGCACCTGGTAGGCAACTGCAGCATTCTGACATCCATCTCTGTAAAAAAGCACAGGGACTATTAAAAGCTTTTACTGGAAAGAACCAATTTTGCTGGGTTTCAGTTAAAAGGATTCTCAGGTTGCCCCGATACTTTGCACCTTTGACTTCTGAAGTTTCCTTGGCAACATTTCAAACTGTCAGACACATTGAATATGTGTCAGCGATGGAGATCTGAAGACTTCTCTGTGTGTTCTCTATCCACACTTCCCATCTATCTTCTCCCCACCAGCAACTGCTGCATTTCAGCGAGTTCAAAGAAAATAACATAATTGAATTTTCAAGCAGTTAGTTGGTGGTAATAAATGTTTTTCTTGTAAAACTCAACAAGGGACAACAGACAGCTCTGCACAAAGCATTCTGGTAACAGAAAGAAGGAATCTAGCATCATTCTCTACTCAGCTCCTCTGACATGCTGTGTCTCTTCGGATACATCTAACCCTACTACAACTGATTAAGAAAGTAAACTTTTAAATAAAAGTCTTCCTGGATTGTGTTTTGGTTTTAAACAAAACTGCATTTATAATTTTTTTTTTTTTAATTATTTCATACTCAGTTCAGACATTCAGATTTCCCCTCTCCAGCAGACATTTTAACTGTCATTGTACAGCAGTGGTTCCACGTGAACCAGGTCACCAGATTTTCCCAGTCTGGCTCCACAGTTGTCTCAGGGGGCTGATGAAATTACTAAATCCAGCCTTGAAAGAACAATACTGGCTTGATTTAACCCTAGAGTCCACTGATTCCAACTAGGATTGGACCCTTCATATCTGTCACAGTTCCAGCCTCAGGTTACAGATGAGCTTTTCCCTCATATTTCTGATTCAAACAGTAGCATGTGTACCTGGAGGACTGCAAGATCTCCACCAGATGTGAAAAAAGAGCAAGGTCAAGATTTTCTGGTGCTTTCATCCAAAGCTGAAAGACAAAAGAAAACAGAGGTTTTACTGGTCTGCTGAGAGGACAGTAACCTGTAGAAGAGAATCATTTACAAGTAGTTCAGAGAAAATAACATCATAAACTCTCAGTCATTCCTGCAATGACAACATGCAGGCTATGGGATATCCCTGTCAGTGTGAGGAGTTACTGTTCCTGAGCTACCCCTGAGGAAAAGGCACTCAGAATCTGCAGGAACGCTCCAGAAACTGCACCAGGGTGAACTGGGGAGCCACAGTGACAGCAGACCTGCCAATTCCAGGATCTACCACCTTCCCAGGAGAGCCACAGTGTGGAAAATCACCACACACCACACCACCCCAAATACTGGATCCAGGAGGTGCTATGAACAAACCAAACCTCATACTATAAAGCTATCTTTAATACAGCCAAACCCACAAAGTAACATCAAGAGTTTTACCTCAAAGTTGCAGAGAACATACTGGAATGCGCTACAGTTCTTGATGACTGAAGACTCCAAGCCAAGCTCAGCTGTACCCACTAAGGAGAACATTAGCTGTAAAATCCTGTTGTTTAACAGCTGCTTCTTCCTCTTCAATAGATAGGTCAGCAACTGAAAGAAAGACTTAATAAGTATCCACTGAGTATAAATCTGCATTTATAAACTAACATATAACACTATTCTTTAGGACAAAGACAGTTACTTGGCTGTAGTAGTCATGCATGCATGCATACATATTACATAAGCATCATGAAGAAAGTGAATATTTCAGTCCAGGCATAACATTTTGTGCAGCAAGTGAAAGAGTGAGTTTTTGAAGGAGTTTGACAACTCTGTGGCATGGAACAGGAGCAAAATACATGCCGTATGCTGAATGGAATTCAAAATTCAACATACAAATATCATTGTAAATAACCACAATAGGTTTTCTACACTATTCATGAATATATGCTTAGTTACTTGCAAATCATGTTAGTTTAAATAAAATATATTAATTATAGCCTCTTCAAATGAAAAACATTTTTGTGAAACATTGACAGTTTCTCAACTGAGTCTGTCTTTGATTATTCAATGAATTCCTGATACAGTGAGAAAAATGTTCATAAAGTCACTACATTTTGAATAGGTTGGGATGAATAGACATTAATTTGAAAATACATATCAAGATATGTTTTTATTAGTTGGCTGTTAAAAAAAAAAAAGCTTCGGACATCCAAAGAGCAAAAATACTCCAGTGGAACATGATGGTCTGTCACATGGAGAGAACATTTTGTAGCACAAAGTCAAAACAAACAGCTTGTACACAATCTAAAGGCTGGAACCACTGACCTATAAGAAAGGATTGGGCAAGCAATATCTAAGTATGATAAATATATTTGTATGAATTAGGTTCAATTTATAAACAATTCACAGATTGGGAAAAGGGAATGTTAATAATAATATAAATCATTCATGAAGCCTTAATGTTGAGTCTCAAGTGGAACCATCTCTGTTAAAGAGTCTCCTCTGTTCCATATGACTCTGCTTAGCCCACACAGTGTAAAGTAAATGATACTGAACTGAAACTTCACACTTCAGCTGTAACCCATCCAATATTACATATATAGTGTTTAAATACAACCAAACTCTTCAGTTTGCAGAGCTTTCAGGTTTGAAGGATGAATTTAGGACACAGCTAATCGATGAAATCCAGACAGCACTTATTTCTATCAGCACAATTCCTCATACGCAGTGAAAACTGAGCCATAGGAATTTACTGTCAGCCCTACACTGGGCAGTTTGTAAAGAGGAATCTCAGGCTGGATGAGCCTAGGGGAGGAAGATGACTTGTCTCTTGTGGGAAGGACAAATGTGTGGAAAAGGTTAAGGGTGGGTCACTCACAAATCTGCTGCACTGGCATATTTAGTTTCCTAGATCACATATGACCAAGAGGCATCTGTCCTTACCTTTCCACCAGCAGATATACTCTTACAGAGGTTCCTAGAGACTGTAAGCACAGGATTTAGATCACCATCCTATATACCACTCTCCAAGATCTCATAATTTATGACGTTCCAACCATAAATGCTAATAGCCACGATAGACTTGGTTCATTGCCACTGACAGGTTTTGGGACAACGTTCTCCAGGCGAAAGACTATAACCAGAATGAATGAACAAAAGAGTATCTACCTGATATCCATTCATGTGATTCATCAATTTTTGACTCATTGGGCTACTGTTCAGGATGGAGTTCAGGACTTTGACAGCTGCATACAGGGTGTGGTCATCACGGGCCATAGCAATGAGACCCAGGAGAATAGCAGGGCCTCCAATGAAGTTCAGGCTAGTAGCTGCTGGAGAGGACTGGAACACTCTGACCCCTAGGAAATTGTAGTGTTACTCTACCAGGAAGTTACATGGATTAAATCTGTTATTGGATAGAGAAAGACCCAACTCTTAAAAAACATGAAACATTAAGGCATAGTGCATTTACCATATTGGCCCACAGCAACTGACCCAATAGTTCTCAAGGAACCAGAGAGGTGTCCAGCAATATTCTTAGCTAGGAATATTGGAGTTGAACCGTCCCGAGCATTAATCCCAATCTAAAACAGATAAAAGAGACATCCTAAGAAAAAATGTGGTAGCACTGGGGAGACAAAAACAAGTATACACCCTAATATTTTAGATTATTTTACTACTTTTAGATTATGACTATTTCTTTACCTTCAAATTTGATTGTTATGACAAACATTCACCCACCTGATATATCCTACAGACCCATTACTTTGACATGTCTGTAGATGTATCATTGGAAAGAATGCTAGAATAGCTTGTGAAGGTATTAAGGAATCACAGACTGACACAAATTATCGTTAGACCTGAAAACTGTCTTCTATTGCTGCTTCAAGAAAGGTTTTTAACATTATGTTCACATTGTCCAATCTATTCCTCTCCACAGAAAAAAAAAAAAACAAAAAAAAAAAACCACAAGGAAGATAGTAGAATGGAGTCAAGGAATGGGAAGAGAAGCTGAAAAAAAAAAAAACCCATCACTGGATGTACACAATAAAGACAGTCACAAACTTTGCTCTAGGAAACCAAGCAGAAACAAGAGAATAGGTGTTTAAGACAGATGAGGGACATCTGTGACCTCTTTAGCAATCAGACGGCCATCCACGTCATTGTAGGAGCTCTTTATGTCTTGGACTGTAGTAAGAGACGAGCACATGGCATTGATTCCAAAAGAAATCTTCTCTTCTGCCACCAGAGGTACAGGATTATGGTCACTGTACTTGTCCTCACCTAAAACAAGACAGACTATAAACCTCTAAAGGAACTTTGCATGCTCAACATGCGAGACAGGAAGACGAAAAATAACTGGGGAAACCAAAGTTTACATAACAATTTGATTTTGACTTAACTATAATCAGAAATAAACGCTCACCCTTTGCAACACAGTCAGTGGCAGCTTGGCAGCATAAGCAACAATAAGAGATGTGCTTGGCTTGTCTCCTAGTTACTGTTTTGTGTAGATCCTACATCCTCTCCCAGTATCTCATGAAGCTCAGAGAAGTGCAGAATAAGCCTTTGTCTGTCTACACAGTACAAACTTACTTTCTGGGCAAAGAAAATATTTCAGAAGCCTTCCATGTTACTGGGAGCTTTCTCAGGGGTAACAGGAGCAAGGATTCATGTGGAAGAAAACGGACAGAGGCAAAAGTTCAGAGCTCCCAACTCATATGGGAAAGCTTCTAAAAAGTACCAGGTTCAGCATAAACTGAATGTGTGAAATTCTCATGTTTTTCTTTGAATAAATTTAATTCTTGCTCACACTTGGAAAAACTATGTGTACTTTTCTTTTTTTTTAAAAAACTCTCATATTTTTGACAGTTTTATAGACTGAGAACGCAGTTGATTTATGAAACTGTTTACTAATGCTGGTGACACAGCCCTTATAAGCAAAAATATTTAGCACATACTCCACATGAAGATTAACTAGAAGTAAATGCCTCAAGATTGTCACCTATTTCCTTTCCAGTAGGACACAGATTTATAGCTAAGCTGCCGCACAGCTGCTGCTGATTAGCAAGCAGCAGTGAGACACTTTCAAGATGGGACACAGCACTGCTGAGACAATTCAGCAACCCCTGCCTCCTCAATGGAAAAAAAAAAAAAAGGAAGATGCAGGTGGGTGGCACAAGAGAGATCGAGGTCATTTCATAATGATGAGATTGCATCTTGTAGATAAGACTTCATAAAGACTCAACACTTAAAAAATCAAATCCTTCTGACTTTTGGTAATATTTTTGTTTTAGGTCTGTATTTTTATATGATTTCTCTTTCAACAACCCCTTCCCCACGCTTGACTTCGAGATTTTTTGTCTAGACAGACAGCATTCTGAAGGAGTATTTTCAGTTAGTCTTTTCACTTTACTTTAGGTTTGAGCATCACCAACAGAGATTATTCTGCTCTTTTCAAATGGGAGATAGCCATCCCATTTCATCCCAAGCTCTAGCACAGAGGTGAATGCACTACTTGTTGAACAAACAGTAATCAATAACTAAATGTTTTGCCTGCCTGTTTAATAATTGAAGCTAACAGTATACTTTAGTTAAAAAGCCTCTTCATTAAACAGAATGCAACTTATTCCCCTACCCCTTTCTCCACTGTGCTGTCTCCTATTCTGCAGGCATTTGCAGATGCTTCTTTTTCTGTTGTGTTTTTTTCTGTAGCACCATAAATACCACATCTCAGTTAAAGCTGCTGCTTTAGTGTTTGTACAACATAAACTGCAATCTTACAACTCCTCAAGCACGTTATCCCTCTTCACTCTCCAGTTTTATCTGCTTCTTGATTCCTACCCATCTTTTTCTGCCCAATTTACTGTATGTTACAAGATCCTCATGGTATCTTACTACAGTCATGTATAATACCCAGTAACGCAGAGTCCCAGGCCTTTAGAGTGAGCTCAAGACACAGTTGGAATACTAACAGCAGATTGTGAGTATAAAAAGAGCATTGCCCTGACAAACAAATAGTGGTGGATATGAGAATTGTCACATACCTTGAAGCTGTACTGCTTGGAAACTGCTACAGTACTGTGGACCAAGCTTATTAATCACTTCCATGGCTTCCACAGAGATGGCTTCTTCAAACAAGTATGTCGGGCCAAGGCGCCAGGTCAAGGAGGACTTCTGTTTCCAAATCCGAGGAGTAGATATGTACCCATAGACATCGACAAAGGAAGAGGGTTCCATGGAAATACAGCTACCTGGTAAGGGCTGGAGATATTGCATCTGCAACAGAGGAAGAATTCATTGAGGGGACTCAACACACCTGGGATGCCTTACCGTCTTGTCCCTGAAAAGTACTGCCTGCTGCTTCTTTCCTCAGTGAAGTTTCATTCAGCTGTGCAACTGCTCCTTTTTTTAGGAATTGGACTTTCAGAAGTATCACAAACATAAGCATTTTTAAAAGTTCAAGCCTAAAAACACAGTCAAAATAATTTCAAGTGTTGGCAAATACAAACCCTACCATGACCCCAGACTTGTGTTTCCTGTTTTAAACACTGTAACACAAACTCTGACTCTCAACACAGAAAGCAAAGTTACTGATCACACCTTGTACTAGGCACCTAGCCTGGAGTGCCCAGGTGCGTCAGTTGGCTTCAGTGAAAGTGACATATTTTAGGAAGCTGGACCATTCACTTTTGGTATCAAAATAAGTAATCATCCTCCTAAATTCAGCCTATTTTATTTAAATGTGGACAGCTCTAGCAGGAAGTAGTTGGAATTTCTTTGGTAGAGAGTAACTATTTTGTACTTCAGGGTTTAAACTCACCTTTAACGATTACTGTTAGGATCAGAGAGCCTAGCATTTACTGATCTCTGACTACTGAGGTGCAGAAGACAAGTCTAGCCAATATTAGGAGGCAGAACTTAATACTTGAGTGAACAAATACTAGCCTTGATGCAACACAGTAACCCAATCACCCCCAGCTCCACCACTCAAAACCAGCTTTTGGTGTTGTTAACCACCTTTGAGCAATTCTGATTTCTCACACAACCTTTTCTCCACTGCACAAATCAAGATGAAGGCTTGCATCATGTCAGAGACCCCAGCACTGGGACCATCTTTTATTTACTAAAGGCTTGTTTTATTTATTATGAGTTGTTTCACTGTATGTTAAACACATTTGCTGTGAATTCTTTAATCAATTGCAATGTTTAGGCCTAGTTTTATTGATGACTTTCAGTCTCATTTGAAGGAAGGCAAATTAAATTAAATTTTCATTCTTGAAACAGATATAGGTCCCAAAAGGCATTTAGAAGACAGATCATTTTTCTCAAGTATGGGAAAGAGAATATTTGGAATTAAACAGGTTGCTTCTACAAAGGAAGTATAAAACACACAAGTGAGCTTTGCATTTGTGGAGATTGATTTGAAATATGGGAACAAGAAGGAAGAGATCAAGGTTACAGGTTTCAATTAAGAAAATGATTATATTCAAAAACAAAACAAAAAAACCACCACACCAACCAGAGAAAAAATAGAAATAGGCTGCATTTTCAACACTGCCAGCCTGGAGCATTCAGAATCCAAAAACCAAGTCTCAGAAATAAATTGAGATTAGCTTCAAAACCAGGAACATAATGATAATGACAATATAAACCAGAGGCTGTACTCATTCATCCTGTAGATTATGCCCACTTCAGGTGCATTTGTACTGCTGTCCTGTGATATCTCATGCAACCTGAGAAATTCACCATTTGAGTCTAGTTCAGAGCCTAAGTATAAGCTGATAACATACTTCTAAAAGCAGAACATACACCCTGTTTTGTATGGATTTCTGACTCCACTCACACACAGCGCAGTGGCACATGTTATATATGCAAATCACCGTGCTTTGAGCCTCTCAGATTAATACTGAAAAGTCATGATATGTGCGTGGAGAAAATGAAAGGCAGATGTCAGGCACAAGATCTATGTAGACAGCCTTTACCTTTGCTGAACCAACCATCTGACCATTTATATAAGCAGACACAAAGCAGCTCTTCTTTGCTTCCTTAGCAACTGTCACTGTGAGATGATGCCACTGGCCAATGACCAGCAGCTTGCCACAGTCAAACTGGACTTGCCCTGGAAATGGAGAAGGATGTAGGACCTCACCCTCAGGTTCCATGATATCTGTAACAGCAAACACAGGGGGCAGTCAACAGAAAGTTTCTCACCTTCCCCTGCCTCTGGAACACAAGTATCAAATGTGACACAAAGAACATGACTTAGTGTGATTTGACATTATACTGTTCAATGTCTTTAAAACATTCCCTGAAGGTCTGTTATCAGGCCCTGAGACTTGCACAACTCTCAAGATCCCGCCAGCATACAATGTGCCATAACCCCTAATAACACCTGCTAGTTTCCTCAGTGCTGCAAAACCAGACTGAACTAGGACAACACCAACATATTCTAAGAGGAGAACCCCTCAGGATATTCACTGAGTTAGCTGACACAGAAAAAAATCCTAGTGAATTCATGAGATGATAAAACTCTGTACATGAATTTGTAGGATTTAGGAAAAGAGGCAACCTGGGATTTTTAACAACATCTAAGGGAGCACTCACACAATGTCAGCTGTGCAAGAAAAATCCCAGCTACTATTCCACTCCATTTCCAAACTCTTCTGAAATGTTCAATCACATTCACATTTGAAGTACTTACTATACTCAGTAAAGAGGAAGGGATAAATATCAACAAGGAAAAAAGCTTAATAGGCTGGCATGACAGAAAAATGAGGAGAGGAGGAAATGAGCTGTTTGATTAGGAAGCTAGATCACTCCCAAACTCCTCAGTCCTACTTTCCAAACCTGCTTACTGCCACACAGAGCAGGCAGGGACCAGCTTGTTCAAGTCCAGCCCCCACAACTGCACACAACCATATAACTGATGTTCAAAAGTTTTATCATACACCACAGGCCACAAAGCAATTCTCAATGTCTACAGCAAATTTAAAATGGAAACCTGACCAAGAATTACAATCACAACAGGCTGCCAGAAGAAAACCAAAGAGATAAGAAGTTCTGGGTACTGTGGCACTCAGCTTGACTGAGAAGAGCCTTACCGAGCGGCTGGAATTCCACTTCTTCTGTGGAAATGACCAAAGAATGATCCTGTGGGAAAAAGCTTACTGAAAAGCAAATAAATTCTTGCTCTGTTCTTGACATGTGCCTCACGACTGTGAGGAAACGGAGTGGGTGACTGTTGTGCACCAAACCAAACTTGATAACCAAAAACCAGCAGGAGAGTGTCAGGCCACCTGAGGGAGGGAACATTCTGGTGCCTGCAGACAGGAAACAAAAAGGCAGTAAGGAAGTTGGTTTCCATGTACAGACATTAGTAAACTGTTTTCTGTTTCATCTGTAGCCCAAACCATGTAAGAACCATTATCAGAATATGAGTTTAAGTTCTGTTCTTGTCTGTTAGATTTCACTACCTATCTTCAATAACATATACTGCACTATAGATGTGTGCACATGTATAAATGACCTAAAATTGACTGATGAGAAATGACTACCATATCTCCATGGCATGGACCTCCCTCAACTGGGAAGCAGTGAGCCAGAAACAAGTTTTCTCAAAGTTCACAAAATTCAGGAAGCAAAAATAGAGCCATTTCCCAGTACACCCAATAGAGGATTTTGATCTGTAGGAGAATCCCATTTGATGTTAAATGACAGTTTCTATTCCTCCTGTGGGAAATTACCCTAAAATATGGTGACTCTTACTTGTTAAGACTGTTTTCTCAGCAGCTTGCTTTAAATTTGCATTCCTAATGTTAATGCATAACCCTATTAAGCAGCACCTGATACTGTATTTTGGTGAGCAGCCAGAGTTATACAACTCAGAGCTGCAATGGGCCACAGAGACAGAAGTGTGTTGAAACACATACCCTGTTTGCTGCCATTTCTTACAAATGTTGCAAGCTTACAATGAAGCTGAAAAGTCAGTGCTTTCAGGAAGATGTAGGTGAGTCAAAGTGCTTACCCATGCCAATTCCTCCTGAGACAGATTGCTCTGCACTGGGTCCCATGACAGTGGCCAAGGCAGGCAGGTATAAACACCTACAAAAGCAAGCAAGCAATCACCCATTCATCAAAAACAAAGGCCATCAGTGAGTTAATACTGCAGAATCATGAAAGCAATGTAGAATCTAGGCTATCAGCAACAAGACAATAACAAAATAGGTCAGAAACATTGCTGCAAGGAAGGCAGTGATAGGGCACAAGGATTGGCTAAGATGGAGAGAGAATTGATTAGTTGCTGTGTCAATAATAAGGGTTGGAGACTGCAGAGCAGCTAAAGAAAAAAGCCACAGCAGCAATACCCGTATCCTTCCATGGACATGTCAAACTCCACAAACGATGGAGCCAAAGCAGTGCTGTGGAGCTGGAAGTTTCGAGGTGATGTCATGGAGATGAGACTCATTGCAGTCTGGAGTGCCAATGCAGATCCCTTAGACACCCAAGGAGAGCTGCTGACTGGCACAACTGTCTGAGGATCCATTTTATTGTCCACCATGTCCTTTTGTGAACCTACAAGATCAACACAGTGACAAACCAGATCAGCGTCTGAAATACTTTTGTCAATCACAGGCTTTGCCCATATTTAATTTATCACTGCTAAGAACAGCGCCGCATGCTCTTCAAATAACACATCCTCAGCAATACACAACAATATTGCACTGAAGTAATTTCAAATTTCAGGCACACTCCACCTTCACTATGTCTGTCTTGGAGCAACCTATTCCAACAGCAATTTCCTGTCATTACAGAGATATCCATAATCCAGACACTGTTATCAGGAACAGGCTGTTCATTGTGTGCTTACCTTCACTCCAAGCTGTCTTAGCTGAATCACTCCCCTGACATGAAAGGACCTTGGTCTTGTTTGTGCTGGGCCTGGAAGCTAGTGGTGGAGAACCACTCAACCAAAGAAATTGCCTAATGTGGAGAAAAAAAAAAAAAAAAAAGATGAAAGCAACCAAAAAATGGAAAACAATCAAGCCAGACACTTTGGATTCATAGCCTCAGACCTCTGGAGACCAACTTTCTTATTGGATACTAAATTTTAAAGACACCCCAAACAAAGCAGAAGGAAGATTTTCTGTTGTATCATCATAAATATTTGTTTTGCTTTATACTTCTGCTTTCAATGTTTTCCTATTGAAAAAAACAAAGGTTTATTTTCTTTAGCAATACTTTTGAATACTACTATTTTTTTCAGAAAAACTTCATCTACACTCTGATCCCTAACATGTACTCTCATACCTAGCATTTGTTAGTATTAAAGAAGAAAGTACACCTTTTAAACAGAAACAACAGACACTGAGAAACATGACTACAATTTTATTTCTGCACCTGTCATTGACATGAATCTGAGCTAAGAGAAAGTTGCCTTTACTCTTCAGGGAACAGCTTCTCCATATGAATACCTGGAGAGAATAACGCTACTTGTTTTGCAATTATTTAATTAGTTACCATTCTTAAAAGGATTTACAACCACTGCAGAGATGATGCAGCAGAACACTACAGACTCGTAACATCTTCAGTAAGTCATTTAAGCATGTACCCTGTGATCAATATGTTAGTAGTATTACCTGAGACTTTGAACAAAAGGCTGAGTTGTGCTGAATTAGAGCACTACATGAAGTAGTAACAAACTCTGCAAAACATTTGCACCACTAAAGCAAATGAGATACAATCTGATACCTTAACACAGCTGGCTCAATAGCCTGTGATGCAAGCTTCTCAAACACTCTAGTGAGGGGCAGATGCAGTGGATGGCTCTCATCGCAGAAGGCATCCTGACAGGAAGTTATGATGGTGCTCAGCAAGCCAGATCCACACATCACCTGTCGACTTTTCTCTGACTTCACCAGGGACTGGATATGATCAACCACAGCATATTGAATTTCCTGTGAAAGCTGAAATGGACACAGAACTGAAGTCAGTGTGATGGAAATAAAACTGCACATGGTGACTGATTTTTTTTCAATTGTCCAAACTCTGGGTGTAAAAATTTTTGGGCAACTCACTGCAAGACACTGAGGTGCTGGAGCGTGTCCAGAGAAGGGCAATGGAGCTGGTGAAGGGTCTAGAGCACAAGTCCTGTGCAGAGCAGCTGAGGGAACTGGGGTTGTTCAGCCTGGAGAAGAGGAGGCTTAGGGGAGACCTTATCACTCTCTATGACTACTGGAAAGGAGGTTGCAGAGAAGTGTATGTTGGTCTCTTCTCCCAAGTGACCAGTGATCAGACAAGAGGAAATGGCCTCAAGTTGTGCCAAGAGAGGTTTAGGTTGGATATTAGGAAAAATTTCTTCCCCGGAAGGGTCATCAGGATTGGAACGGGCTCTCCAGGGAGGTGGTTGAATCACCATCCCTGGAGGTATTTAAGAGACCATTGGATGAGATGCTGAAGGACATGGTTTAGCAGTAGTATTAATGGTGTTAGCCTAACAATTGGACTTGATGATCACAGAGGTCTTTTCCAACTTAAAAGATTCTACGATTCTTTCTTGCCACAGCACTATGGTAGTAAAGGAAGAGAACAATCACCTCCCATTCAAAAGAAGGGAGCGTCATCAAGGGCAGATTATTAGGCATAAGCTCCAAGACCAACATAGTAACTCAGAATATATGTAACAGTAAGCATGTGGAGAGTCATGCTGACATGATCTACCCTTCATTCTAAAAGCACTGATCTTAAATAAAATTGTATCTAGCAATATAATGAAACACTTACTTGATTTTAAACACTTCTCTACATGTCTTGATGAACTGAAGCTTTAGATCATCATTGCTTCTTAATGGTCTTAAAGTTTCTCAATTCTCGTAAATTATCTTTAGAGAAATCTGTTCCTAACGAAGAATGAAGCCTAGCCCATTGATCTACCTATATTTCACACAAAACTATCTGTGCACCATATATTTAAACACAAATCTTAGAAAGATGAAATGTTCCCCACCCCCAAGAGCTCTTTGGCTTTCTCATATGCTCTTCTAGGAAGTATCTATGCAAACACTTAAAGAAAATAACAATGGTGGTAGAGACAGATTAGGACATTCAGATTTAATTTTATAACATGAATGAGAAATGGCTTCAATGGATTCAGAATAAACAAGCTTATTATGGGTAAAGAGGAATTCAGCTCTTCTGCATCCAGACCAAACTCAAAACCTGTACAGGACAAATTCAAATCCAACAAGGAATTTGCTTTCAAAGTACTCAGCAACAAAATATTTTTGTAAATTCAACTACTATTTTTGATATCTGAAGGGCAAGTTCTTTGGATAACATTTCTTCTCTCTGAAGGACTGTTCATTTCCAGTGACACAAGTTTCACTACGCATCTCATTATATACAGAAACACCAGACTGAACTACACTATTCTCCACAGAGGGGTACGTATTGCTACAGTTTATCAAAGCCTCACTTTAATTTATTCGATACTTTAATTACTCTTTTACTCCACTTTTACTGGATGCAGGAAATTATTTGGATGTATAAAACCATGTGAAAACAGAGGACACAGGTTTTGACTAAGTGAAACCACTGGTTTATTCCCCAAAATAAATCCAATAAGAGTATAATGGCATACAAAAAATTGATTGTTTTCATTAGTTTAGTAGCTTTGTCAATACCAGTACTGCCTTGTTTTGAATAAAATGTGCTGTTTTCATGGATCTTAGTTCCAGTAAAATGAGATTTTAGTGGAAATATTAATGGTGGCCAGGAAACCAGTCTGTGTGTTTCTATATGCATGGATTGATTTTCCGAACACATATTACTTGCACCATGGATCAGGACATTGAAGGTGCAGTTAGAATGTAGCTGGGCTCACAGCTCTCCCTCAGATTACAGTCTTAAAGGCAAAATGTCACCTAGCAATTTGGCCAATCCATTTAAGTAGTTCCCAGATTCTTGCTCCTAAAACAGTTAGAAACTTGCACACAGTTTCAAAACCTGGAGCTGAATTTATTTCGCTGTTGTCTTCTAAATGATTATGCTATGTTTAAAATGAGCAAGAACTTTGAACCTCTGGCAGTGTGGGTTCATTTCAAAAGGATGGAATATTCTTAGGTTTAAGAATGATAGAGCAATAATTCTATGTGTAATTGCAAAAAGCAAGCACCTTTCAATCTCAGGAGCACCTCTCACCTGAAAAGCTATCAGCCCTTCATAGGAAATTAAAAATAACTTCCTAACATACTATAGAGATTCACATTTACTAATGAAGAAATGAAAGCATCAAAATGCGTTAGATATAAGGAAGACATTCTTCCCGGTGAGGATGGTGGGCCCTGGAACAGGTTGCCCAGAGAAGTTGTGGATGCCCCGTCCCTGGAAATGTTCAAGGCCAGGCTGGATGGGTCTTTGAGCAACTTGGTCTAGTGGAGGGTGTCCCTGCCCATGGCAGGGGGGTTGGAACTAGATGATCTTTAAGGTCCCTTCCAACCCAAACTACTCTATGATTCTATAAAAGTAGCACTTTCAAAAAGCTCCATGCAACTCAGGATTTTAAATTGTGCTTACAAAAGAAAAGCTAATATACATCAGCTAAAACCCATTGTCTGTAGAGATCCTGAGCCACTTCTGAAAATAGTCTGTGAAACTTTTTCTTAAAATGTTATTAAAAAAATAATTATAAATCTATCACCTTGCAAATCTCTGTTGCAGTTTCCAGCTGCAAGCACATTCACATTATATCACAGTGTTTTCCTGATTAACTCTTACCTTCTGACTTTAACAAGCAAAACCTACTTTGTTGACAGTATTGTACAACTGGTTTTACAAAGGTACAGAATAACTTGCATTCATGCACTCCTTGGAAGTAGGCAGGGAAAAAAGTACTATGAACTGCATGAACCATTTCTGCTTTTCCAAAAACATGATCTAGATAGGGCCTAGATAAATGCCTCACATAAATTACATCATCTCGATCAGACTTTTCACATTTTCCCTTGATACAGCTTGTGTGTGAGAAGCTACAGAGCTTTCCTCATATGAACACCAGGGCTACTATTGCCTTCCTGAGAAAACACACTAGTAAGTCTTGATCATTTGAATCCAGGCAACAAAATCTCCTTGTAATGTTAATAATCCTTTTACCTCCTGCTCTCCAAATCACCTTTGGTTGTAGTATTTTTTTCCCCCCTCACAGTACTAGCTGAATGCAGTGTCTCCTTCTCATTTTTCTAAGCTACTGTTCAGTGCTATAATATGATGTTCATCACACACCTGAGAGGAAGTCAAAGCTGTCTCTGTGTGCCACCTTATAAATTATATGATTGCATGAAAAACAAGACAAAGTACAAAATGATCTTCAGTATAGTTAGGCAGGGATTCTTGGAAAAGTTCCTATCTCTTCAGTCCAGTGTACAATATCAAGATTTTAGTACAACTTCAGAGTCACTGGCTCCTTTTTAATGAGAAAGTGAATAGCAAGAGAAACAGGAAAAATTAAAGGCCAGGCTGTGGGGTTGGAAGCACAGGAGGAAAATTGCTTGATCTGTAAAAAAAAGTGAAAGCATCAGAAGTTTGTTGATCAATGAACAAGAAAACTTCTTACTAAAAGCCCAAAAATAACGTTGGAAAAGAGCATGCAAAAAAGCTGTGCATTTTCTCTAAAAAAAAAAAAAGAAAAGAAAAAAAGTGCTGTAATAAGAACAGGCTCAGCAAAAAAAAAATCCCTCCAGAGACAAGGCTGGAGCAAAGCATGCAGGAAAGTTCTGAGGGGAAAGAGCTGACCTTCAGCTATCAACCCAGGCTGGAGGACCCACTGCCAGGATGTTTCTAGTCTCCTTCCTCCTCCAGAGTTATGGTCCATTCCCCTTTCCTCTCTCACAAAGCCTTGACTGCACATCCCAAAGGAAAATAAAGCTCTGGCCAAATACCTGAAGAATTTCCTTGTGCAGATAAAGAGGTGCAGAAATTCAGGAATTCACTGTGATATTAACAGTTACATTAGCAGTGATATTAGTAATATATATCTGAAGGCAGACAGATCTCAGATGTCCCACAGCCTTCTGTGGGCCATATCCATGTCAGAGAGCTTTTTAGTTTAGAAAGAATTTATGTTTTTAAGAAGTACAGATACTTGGAAAGTGTTATGCTGTTAACATCCGCAGTGAGAACAACTAGCTTAGGCTAAATTTAAAACAGGGATAAAGATATTTTTAAAAGATGCAAAGTCCTTATTGATGCACAATGTTTTAGTTTTATAACAGTGAAAAAGACAGCAGTTCATCATAGGAGAGAAATGAATAAAAGTAGAGAGGACAAATCTAGCTGTAGAAGCAATAATATTATTTAACAGAAGTATAGATGATTTACATAATGAATCATGTGAGTATTTTTTGCCCATACTCACAAGAAACATTCCAGGATGATGACAAAGAATTTAATCACACTTTGATTCTCTTCTCGAAAGTTCTCTTCTTTCCTTTACCCAGTCCTGTCAGATCTAGATCTCCTTAGGTGACATCGCAAATGGAAAATATCTGGCATGACACACTGGAGTCTTAAAAGCCACAGTTCCAAAATGTCAGACAAACATGAAATATGTCTGAGAGGAAACTGAATATCCTGAACCAAATATCCAAAGTTGATGTTAACCTGTCTCACTTGTACTTAGTTTTTGAAACATGCGACAATGCTACCTTTCCTCACAAAACCAGCAGCATATTAATAAAAGGAAAATCCACCTAGTATTTGGTCAAACATATCTATTCAAAGGGAAATTCCTTCAGTTATTATCCTTCTACCGAGTACCTCCACTAACCATTGAGCTCCACCTTTTGTATCAGACCTTGCCTGACTTCCGTGTACCGAGTGGCATCTCATTTCACAAGGGTCATGCAGTGGTATATGTTTTACTTAGTGGACTAAGTAAAAAAAGAGCGAGATAGGAAGAAAAGATGAATGCACTTAAATGCGTAACTGAAATTGCTGGAATTTGTGCTCTAGCCCTTCATATTTTTAAGAACACTGCCATCTACCGAGAGTCAGGGGCTTTCTCTTCCATACAGCCCAGCCCCAAAGCCAAATCCAATAGTTTCTTGATGACACTCTCTCATTCAATTAACGGTTCTACTTGTTTTTCAGAAATTAATTACTGTAATTAACAAAATTTCACTAGCTGCTGGCTTGGTTCCCCCACACAGAGTTAGCAGCAGTTAGTTGCACTCCCAACTTCTATATCTCTTGATGAACAATCTGTTTTTATTTCAATTTACTTCAACTGTATTCAAGTATTTTAGACCACATAACAGATACAATATAGGCAATATATTTGCTCAGAGCTGGAGTGTGTATGGAAGGTTTGACAAAGCAAAGGAAATTATAAGCTGCATTGAAAGTTTATAGACTGTTAGGCCTGAAGAGCCAGACTGTTCTGGTTGCTAGGTCCAACAGCAATATTTTAAACAATTTTCAAGGGACTTCTACACTTGTACACTTACAGTAAGTATTGTGGGACAAAGACCCAAGTTTCTACACATCAGACAGGTGTAGAAACACTTATCAAACTGATAGCCAAGAGCCTTTGTTGTTCTTATATCTGTGAATCAGTGAAATTTGTGCTGTTCCTTCTGCCAGTGTTCTAGGTAAATTTTAGTACTCCCACATCTGCAAAGAGTAAGCAATTCTTGGAAATGAAGCTACAGAAAAGTAGAGGACACTGTTTAGATGGCACTTTTGATATGTTCAGACTCACCTGAGCATGTCCCTCTTTGTACAGCTTTGGCAGCAACCTCACCATTACACACACAGCACCTGGATGTACAATGTCGCAGTCTCCCATTTCCCATCTGCAGCAAAAATAAGCATAAACTTACTGTCACAATTAACATTAGCAGCAGCAAAAAGAGTCCAACAATGTTCCAGCAGAGTACAGAGCATAGCAGTAACCAGGCACAGCATTTGAAACTAAGTAAACAACATCGGTGACCTGGAACAGGTGGAAACCTCCTTGAGCCAGACATTACCTGCTCAAATGCTCACATCCCAGGGACCTGCATATTCAAAGATGTGCAGCAGCCTCTTTAAACAAACTTTGGCTTTGAAGGTATTTTCAGTACAGACGACAGACAATCAAAGGGATCTTTCTGATGCATAAGCCCAGAACTAGTGTTGTAATTTTTTCTATTTTCAAGCAGTTTGACTTTGGTCAGACAACAACTTCAGTACTTTCAAGCCATAACAGCAGCAAGCAAAGATGAGAGAGTCTTGATAAAATCAGTATTCCAATCTTGCCTTCCAACACCAGAATATGCCTGAACTAATAAAAGGAAGTTAAATATCTGTGCTTCCCCACCAGCTTCCATTTTTGCCATGCATCACCTTTGTGTACTCCAGCACAGGAAGGAACTGAGGTATCAGAGTTACCACAGAGATCTGCTTATGCCATGATGAAGGCTAGAGGTCAGATATATCTCAAAGATGAAGCCACAGCATAGAAGAAACTCTAGTAAAGGCACTGCAGGAGCATCACATTCAGAGTATAATCAGCATTTCTGGGTGCACCTCTGAATCAGAGTTGTGATGTGCACTGCCAGAAACGTCTGTCCCAAAGAGATCTCGTGAGAAAAGGCAACACCTAACAGCCATAATTAGATTTAAAAAATAAAGCAAAACATGCTTTATGGAGTTCATAAAAAAAGGGGTACAAGTAAAAGAGGAATCATAAAAAAAAATCTTCTACAAGGGACCTAAAGGAGGGAAAAGCTGCAATTAACATGTTAGCCACTTCAAAAAGGTTCATGTGATATAGCAGAGGAGCGAGTAATGTGTCGCACACTGCCACACAGTGACAAATAATTCTTACTGCACTCTCAAGAAAGATCTTTGAAGAGATTGCTCATTTGCAATATTCTCTGCATAATTAATCAAAATCAGATCTGGCAGAAATACTGTAGCAGTGGCTCCAGTGTGGACACATACACCTGTAACTGACATGAATGTGGGTGAGTTTTTAAACGTCAAACAAGAAAAAAAAGTACACACTGAAAACACATTCTCCTCCCATCTCACGCCAAAAAACTCTAAACACCTTTAAAGAGAAAAATCCAGGCCATTAGAATCAATAGTACCAAAATTTCAGCTTTTCTGCAAAGGCTGTGCTCATCAGAGAAATCTTATTTTTAGCCTAAGCCATAGTATTCAAGGACTGACTTCCCAAACTTTCAATTCAATTTAAACTTATATTTCTAGCACTATAAAAATATATTGCCAGGCATTGTGCCCAGTTCTCCTTCATAAAGACTTAGGTACTGAGGAAATATGGTTACCTATGAACCTTAAAATTTTTTTCATATTGAAGCTTTTCTTTTTTTACAGCTCATATGTATTAAGATTAAATGTAAGCTAACAAAATGTGAATATCAGAAGACAATAATAGAAAGTGATCCTTTAAAAAACAAAATCATGAAATGGTTAAGACATTGCCGTAAGGATAAGGAGATATTTTTGAGCACTGTCTGACAGTTTAGCACTCTCCAAGACTTAAGAAGGAAGAACAAAGAAGGAAAATCCAGAGTCCCTGCCCAGCATGGAACTACACTTCAACTTCCCTGACAGCACTGCACACTTGCTCCCCTCTAAGAGTATTACCAAAGTCTTACCTTCAGCCAGTGGTTGTCCAAGAGACCCTCATTTTCTGCCTTGTCTTAGTACAAAAGTTGTCTCCAGGTACCAACTCCTCACTCCTGCAAATAGCCCATCTCGCACACTCCTACCCCACCAGTATGATGGTGTGAATCCCAAATCTGCTCTGCACTGACTGGTACTTAAAAATGAGACAAATAAGAGGGTCTGGGGACAAAATGAGATGCTGCAAAGAACCTGAAGAGACATTAGCACAGTGAGTCTGTGGTAACAGCCACTGCAGCAGGCACTCTGCTAGAGTGGGCACAAAGAGGGACTTCCCTCCCTAAAAGAGGTCAGGCCCAGTTAACACAGGTTGCAGCAAGCTACTTCTAATCACCAGGAGCAAAAGGAAGAATAGACACTCATCTGTCACAGAAGGGGTTTCAAGCATTAACACAGTAGAAAGGAAAACAGAGGGCTGTTTTTCAGATGGGAATGAAAGGGTCAACTTCCCTGTGGTCCAGTAGCTTGCAGCATCACTGGCCATAGGCAGAAAGAGGCTAGAATATTACCTAGTTAAAACACTGATTTTCTAGTGTCTCAGTCACAGGGCCCAGTAGGATCACCTCCTTTCCCCCTCTCTGGGGATGTTAAATATATGTTGCAGGATGGGGCATCACAAACCACATACACAGACTGTACTCAAGTTCCTCTTCTCAAGCTGCATATCCCCAGGCTGAAGCCTTCTTTAGGAGGAAGTGGGAGTGTGGAGTACAGCTAAGAGGAAGCAGCATGTGGGGAACCACAGGCTTGCAGGAACTCTGGGAAGTTGATTTCTTATTTTTATTTTCAGAAAATTTACTGCTGGAAGAAGATACAGGCTCTGTGGCCTAGAGATCAACAGCTTGACAATACATGTTCCTCTGTTGTGTTTGCATACACTTGTCCTGGACATTCCCCAGCTACCTCTAGCTAACCTGGCTTCCTTTTGTGGCTTCTAATCCCAGAATCAAAACGAAACTGTCCCAAACCAGACACAGAACTGAGTGGATCCCAATTTATAGGATTAATTTATCCACAAGTGGTATTCACTGTTACAGTTCAGCATGCAAAACCACACAGGACCTAGGAAGCTTTGCTTTATGTTTCAGACCTAGTAACTCAAGAAAGACAAGCAGAAGACAGAGCCATACTGAGTATTCACTCCTCCTGAGCCACCAAGTCCTCTCCCTAGCACTATCTAACTAGAAACTTCCAGTTTAATTAAAAAACTGGTGATAGGGAGGCAAACATCTCCATGACTATTTTAAAATCAGTTGCACAAGGAGCAAAGAAATCTACTGTATGTTTTTCTAGTTGCTTCAAACAAGTACAGATATGACCAGAAATACTTACTCAGCCTGCCTCAGCACTCACGGAACAAAAGTTCTGCTGACTTCAGTGACTGCTAGCTATGTGTGGCAGACCTAATGACTTGGTCTTTAAACCTGGAAGATGACTGTGGAATAACCTACAATAATGGCTGAAGGAATCTCACAGTTATAAACTTAGCCTTTTTAAGCATAACTCCAACCAGAAACATTTTTGAGAAGAGGACTGAGAGATCCAAGATAAAGCTACAGACACACATGAAGGGGCAGAAGATCTCACAAGTTACAAAATACATTATTCAGAATTGATTCAAAACTGATATCTACTTTGATTTCTGGTGTAGTCTTTTCTTCCTGCAAAGGATATATATTTTTATATAATCCTTCATTACGTGTGGTAGGAAGCATTATTAATCTTTTTCCAATTTTCTCTATTTCCGCTGTATGAGTGAATGAGTAAGTATGTGTGTGTCTCTTCACGTCTGGACACACATGCATGAGGGAATATTTAAAATAAAATAGTTTTTATTTTTAATGTGACTGGAAACAGCTTTCCACATAACTGAAAAAGTCAAAATTGATTGAGGCAGATTCAAGAAGAGACTAAAAGTAAGCTTCAAGTCACAGCAACCCTTTCCTTGGAGCTCAGTCTTGATCCTGCTTTGTACATGTCAGAACCTTCAGCACATACTCTGCAACAATTCGGGTTGATGTCCCAGTGCTCCACTGAACACTTCTGCCCCAATTTTACTTTTCAAAAAGAAGCAATTGCTGCTGTCTGGAGGCCTGGGAGTTTGGACTGTGGCACTGATTTGTTTGTTGTAGCAGGTTCAATCACACCTTACCTCACTTTACTATCATATAAAATGCAGATACCTGCCTTTCTATTTTATTTCCTGTAGTAAATAAAGACTTACTTCTCTTCAGGGTTTCCCCATAGCCTGTAGGCAGAAGCAGGTAATTTTTTGCCTGGTCTTTTGAAAGCAACAGGATGTTCTTCTTGAACTTGTAGTCCCTCCTGGTCATCTCCTGATGCTTCTCCCATCTCTGACTTTCTCTCTTTGAAGTAGCACTCCAGATGGAGTGTTCCTTTGACCATGTGATCAAGAAAATTCAGAATCCATATGCAGTTCTTTAGCCACACTGGGAAAGGTTCCGAAGAGCAGAAAGCTGCATTCAAAAATTCTGCAAATGTCCTTGTCTTCTCTAGGCTCAGAGGGATTTGCCATTCCCCTTGTGTCCAGAAGCATCCAAGAGAACCGAGATCCTCTGCCATCTTTTCAAAGAGACCATTCCTCTCAAAGAAGTTGCTGTTGACGGGGTCCAAGTGCAAGGCTGCAGTTATCCCCTGAAGTGTGTAGAAAACAAGCTCCAATACGCAATTTTGTCCAACTGCTGCCCACAGCCCAGGTGGAGGGTCCTGCAATGCACCTTCCATGTCTGAAAGAAGGGACAGGAGTCCATTGAATCCACTGCAGGTTCTGAAAGCTGAATGGCTCTTGGGACTCTCCAGTATCCTCAGGAGTGACTACAAACATTAGGAAGAAAGGAGACAAAAGAAGAACTTAAACCATGGGACAAAGAATCTTTAAAGTATTTTAAAATTCCAAGTTTGTACCAAAACTCTTTCACTGAAATTTCTTTCTTTGAAGAAAACCAAGAAACTTGGTTGAAGTAAAGTCACCACTGCACAACTTTTCTCCTCCTCCCTTCCTCCATGCAATGAGTCTAACAACCAACATTTGAGTACACCCTCAGGAGCAACCCATGCAGTCAGCCTGACAGGTAGAGAACAGTGCTCACAGGAATAAGCAAAGAAATCAGATTTGCTGCATTACATATCCTAGTCAGTTTGGCCAGTAGTAGTTCCAGACCTTTGGATATTCTTTTATCAGTCTTTCCAGACTCTCCCAAGAAATCTGCCTTTGCCTTAAATAAATTAAAAAAGAGGTTCAATTGTAAATAACCTCATATAGAAACTGAGAAGGCGGCACAGGCAGTTTTCTACAGACAAGTCTTTCTACAGCCATGAATACACACAAGGAATCAGACTAGACTTTTGCTCATATGACTGAGCAGACCCTTTCCAAAAAAGCAGCCACACAGGATGGCCCAAAGAATACTTCAAAGAAGCAGGGTGTCTTCATTAAGAAAGGCAATAATTACCTTTCTCAGCAGAGGCATTTTTAAATTTTGCACAACACTTGGGAGGAAAAAAACCATAAAATGTCAGATCCCAAGATAATGAAGTCATTAGATTTTCTCTAACTTCAGTGGCCTTAAAGAATGTAAGAATGTTATAAGTGGATGCCACTTGACAATATTACACATGCATAAAAAACAACTTATACAACTTCTAAGTTTTGAATGCTATGGGCTTGCCATTTTAAAACAAATCTAGAAAAGTTATTAAGAATTGTAGTGGTGGAAATACAGTTAGTGACGAAAAAAGAGCTTGCAGGAAAGAGTCTACTGTATTCAAATGTAATCCATGCCAAGTTTTCGGGATGTTGCACAATTAATTTTGTATATATGTTGGTCTTACAGGCACCAGGGACCTTTCAAATATGAGGCTGTAACTTTTCGCACTGGAAAGGGCTAATTTTACATATAAAGTTTCCCAACAGATATCCAATGAAAGAGGTTCACTTCACAACCTGCTGAATAGGAACAGCCTCTAACAGAAATATATCTCCCTGTAACAGGATCTAGGACTGTGAGAAAGTGTTGCCAGATCTGGAGGGGGAGGGGGAACTCTATTACTGTCATTCAATTTTGTATGATAATGTATCAAACCAGGCAGAGACTTCTGAACAGGGAGTAAATTTAATAACTCAGCGTTGAAGTTATCAGGATGGCTTTAACACATTTCAGAGAAGGTCAACAGTAACCACGTTTCCTCCAGCTCTAACTCAGTTAGAATTTAATCGCCTATGAGTTAGTATTCCTGTGTCTTGAATCTATAAAACTGATGTCTGCTGGAAACCCCTTAACTCAGTTAACGTTAACAGAATTTATTTCACATTCCATTATTTGTTATTCCTCATAATTGTCCACGTGCCACACTGGAATATGGCAGAGCTAATTGCATTTGGGCTCAGGCTTTAACAGCTAAATATATATTAGCAAATCAATCTGAATTTTTAACACAATCACTGTCCCAGTGGATGTAGATAATAAATTCATTTGCTTACATTATTCTTTCATACAGTTATCATTTGTCAAAATTAGATACTGAAGCTGCATTTATTTTCATATTACTTTGGACACCGTACTCAACTTTTCCACAAATGTTGTTCAAGTTTACTGTCTCAAATCAAAGCTATAAACTTCATCACTTTCTTTTTTTTAAGTAACATGGTTCTTTTATCAAAGAAGCAGCTGCTAATATTGTGCTGAAAGGTGAATTCCGTTCACACTTGGAGGAGAAGGTAGAATGATTCTTTAAATCAGTGCTTACAACACTGCTGCTTTTCAATTTGATGCCTATGATCTAAATCAAAATAAAGCACACTGATTCTTTCCCCTGCTTCATTACTTATCAATCAGATCCTCTATAAACACATCAGAGGCTAAGAATAGTTCTAATTTCTTCCTCTACACCTTCATAAGACTCCTTCTTTCAATCTTCTCACATCTCTTTTTCTATGACACCGGTGTATGCAAGAGCTGACAAAAGCAAGGACAGCAGTTTCAATCTTGAAAACTTGCCAGAATCAAGCTGTTCATCTCATGCCTACCCTGCCCCTTCCAAACATACTCCTTTACCTCTTCTCACATCCTCCCTCCACATCTCCTCCACTTCCATTCACGCTTGTTTCTTTTCCTGTCACATTACATAAAACTGCTCATACAACTGTGCCCTTTTCCATTTCCATTCCTCTGTCCTGCATTACTACTTAAGTCTTCAAAATATTACACAGTCTGATACTGAGTGAAAGTGTTGACCATGCACACCACTAAAAATCAAAGCACAGAATTTACCAGTACCAAAAACTGGCCCAGAATTTCCTTCAGTACTTACCTTCTTGGTAAAAGCACAGTGCTAGGGGTGAGGTTAAGAGAAATATGCCACAAACCAAGCAGTTTCCAAGAAACTAACAACCAAGTGGGAAGCCGCATTAATTACCTTCAGCAGATCAAGTTTCAGATGTAGTTCTCCTTGAGTAGAAGAACAGAGGGCCCCAATAATAATCCTCATATATTCTTCATAGTTGATGACTGATAGCTGCTCCAAGATGCTGAGAGTAGCATTCCTGTAGCACTCATCATCCAAAAATATCTTGATATATGGCACCATTCCATAGTCTTTCAGAATAACTAGGGACAAATACGGTATCATTTGTTACTCAAACTATCCTTTACTTGCAGTTTTCACAGGCAGATTTTCAGTGTTGGTGTGAAGTGATACATTTCTACAAATACAGCAGCAGAGGCAAGAAGAGCTGGTTAAGCTGAAGACAACACAAACTGAATGGCACAAGAACAACTAGGGATAAAATGACTGGATGACTATGGTTTCTGATCAGAGGAGACACCTTCCCAATACAATAATAAATGAAACAGAAAAGATGCCTTGTTAGTTTTCAGCTTAAACTTCTCTTTAGTTTATGAAAGGGACTGCTAGGTAGTTTGTGACAATATATTTGCACTGTGTAAGATGCTGCAAATATGGTGATCCTAGGATTCAAGGGTGAAATGAATGGATTCCAGTATTCAGAAAGAGTTCACTACTGTATAACTACGTTCCACAAGATTCCCTACAGCCAGTACTAAATGTATGAGTGTTACTCAGCACGCATCTGATTCTATCAAGATTTCAAATAATAGGCACCATGGAAGAAAATCTAAATAAACAAACAATACACAAAACACACACGTGGTTTTGTTTTCCACAAGGTACATCTGTGTTTTCTATGTAAACACTTCAGGAGTATCCACATGGATGAGGGAAGCAGGGTGACTACCTGGATAAGGCTCATTATGCAGGATGAAAATATCTTTGCTTCATTTCTTCCCGGTGTAACACTCTTATCCTTACACTTCTAGATTTTGTCCTTCACTTCTCACGGAAGCACAAAAGCCAGAAAATGTATTGGTGCTCCCTAATAAGCATCATGGCCACTTGCCACCAAATATCACAAAGGTAATGCAGTCATATGTCATTTCTTACCTGTGTTCCTCACAGACCCCACTGTAAGAGCAGCCACCATCTTCAGCATCACAGCATTTAATTCCTTCTCAGTGCCTTCTTCCAGACCAGGTAAATGGGTTCCAGCTGTCAGTATATTAAAAGTCATAATACAATTTTTACAAGACATGGTTAACTGCAGCTAAAATATATTAGACCAAAAAGGAAAACCAGTTCTCCAGTAAATTCTCGTTTTCTCTTAAATATTACTTACAGGCTACTTGAACCCTAAAATGAGCAACAAAATACAGACAGGGCATTGTCTACACATTGGAGTCTAGCCTGGGGTTGGGACACACAGGTTTTATGCTATGCTCTGCAGCCCCGATCTCCTGCATAACTATAGGCAATACTGATAATAGTGATTTTTCTACTTCCCAAGTGTAGAGTCACCTGTTCAGTGATACCTGGTAAGAACACACAAATAAAAACATTACAGATTATGAGCTATGAAGTGGTAAATTATAACAGACAGGGAGTACATAAATACCTAAACTAAAAGTGAAGAGCAGGAACCCCCTGCATGCTTAAAGGCAAACATTTTCAGGATCATATAGTGAGAGGTAGGCTTGAAGTTTGCAGACTAATTTTCTGAAAACCCAAAGAGGGAAGCAGTGATCACTTCATAGTGTCTTCCAACCTGTCATTCTTCATTTGTGTGACTAAATTTATAAATTAAAGAGCCATTCAATGACTCATTCTATAAAATTTAGATCGCCAAGTAATCTAAAGCAGTGAAATTTATGAAAAGACAGAAGAAAGCCCCCTATGCACTAGCTCATAATCAGAAGTTTATCTCGACAATCCTTAACTAAGTACTTCTGTAAAAAACTCCAGTTCTTTGATATCAATAACCAAATCTAAGTGTCTTTGCAGGTAACGGATTGCACTCCAGAACTTCTGCTGCAAATTCATGTTCCTTCTGATATTTGGAATAAATGTGTATAAACTTGCTGCATCAGAAGTTACACCTAGTACTTTGCATCCCTTCTCCTTTATTAAATGACCATTGCACTGAAATTTAAAGGCATTTCCCAATTCATATAGCACAGAAAATATTATCACGCATTTTTCTTTAAAGTAACAGTTATATAATGTTAAATATGTGAGCCTGTCCCTTAAGTCAGCTGTACTCCACAGTTACTACACCAGGACCATTACCTTACTGTTTTCATAATAGGAGACAACTATATCAGGTGACAATGGGTGGTAGTAACTGTGGGTAATATATGGCCAGAATTCAAGAAAATGCTTTCAGTCCTCAGAATTAAGTGTTATTTTCAGAGGAACTAAGCACTTTAGAAATCTCTTACTTCCTCTAATCTCAAGATGGCATCCTAGAGAACCTCAAATTGAGACCTGTTTAAAAGTGTGGGCTCAACAGTACCCTCCAGAATAATTCATCATACAGTGGTGAAGATTACTCCAGAACTGCTTAGCCTAGTGAATAGAATGATAAACAGCTAAGATTTTAGAGAGTACCCAGCTTAGTATGTCAAACTTTGGCTAGTTGGCTTGCAGACAAAAACTAGCTACTCAGTATGTAAAATTTGTAATTTGATTGAAGAAAGATTCATTCATTCCTACTCATCTGTTACTTCAAAAGTCATTGTGAATGACATTAAGTTGTACCTGACTTTCTCAGGATCTTGGCTTGCTTCCTCAAATGTGCCAGCAGTAGGCCTAAAAGCCCAGAGTCACGGAATATGTCGCTGAATAACAGGTCCTTCATGGTCATGCTGAGAAGGCACCGGAGAGCTGTTAAGGTGCAGAATGGCACTAAGTTTTCCTTTATCAAATACTGAACCTTCTTCAAAATTTCATGGGGGACATAGGACAGATCTAGCACTATGGACTCCACCAGTTTGAAGAACTGGACTTGGACTGGGTGTGGTTTGAAATGGATTATGTCAGTAAACTGGTTGATAGGTTGTAGTGTCCATTCCAGAAGAAAGTAGTTCACTGTGTCCCAGGCCCATATGGTACCAATTGCTGCCAAGATTCTTCCACACAGATGCTGATCATTACTTTTCTGGAAAATGGACTGCAACACCTGAAAAGCCTGGAGATTTTTCACTGTCATTCCTGTGGGATAAAACCAGGTAAGATATTTTTTACATCAATGTTATTTAAAACTCAAAGCACCATAACTATAATGTTAAATTGTATCTGAGAATGGAAATAGGGGTCACAGGCATGAGGGATGGGACCAGGAGGCGAGTTCTCAACCTTGGATTAGACCCAACAGTTGATATAGTTCAGTTTGATGTAGGTAGCATTCAGGCTTCTGAAGGGTTAAGCACATAGATCAGAAGATACCATCTCATACTCCTTCCTGTTCTTAAGACACGTACTGAATAAAACTTCCTTCTTCTATGACCCACCTACATAGACAAATGTATATACTCTACCAGAAGACCGTGTCCGTTCAAAATCAAAATGCGGTAATTGCGGGTGTACAATATTGCCAGAAACTTTCAGTTCAGTTTTCCCACAGGTTGTAAGGCAAGTCAGCATGTCCAAAATCTCATCCAGATAGGGGTCTCCTTCATTTTGCTGCAACCCCTCACATCTAGGAACAAAACTCAGGACAGTCATATATTCATGCCTTAGTAATGCAAACATTTTGGGTATTTCACCAGGTACTGAGCACACAGGAGCTACACATTTTACTTGCCACTCTTCCCCAGTCATTTACTGTCTTTCTGTCTTGCTTTCTGTGACTTGTTTAACCATCTTATAAACAGTAACTCCACACCATGGTGGCACATTCTGAATCAGAACAAAACTTACAAACTGAAGAAGAAAACTGAAGTGACACTGTAAGAATCTTCTGAAGAAAAGGAAGATAAATGTTAGAATTTAGTCCAGTTATGTACACTTAAAAAAAAAGTAATTCTCCCCAGAAGAATGCCTGTTTTGGAGAGTAAAAATTCCAATCATCAGAGAAAAAGAAACCAGCACACATAAAATGTTTAGGAAAGAAACTCTCTGTCTATCCCTTTCTGTCTGTATATGCTCGGAAGGGAGACTAATCTCAAGCCCTGAGCACCTGTATGCTACTTCTGTCTCTCCACCCTAGTTATATCAGCTAAAGAGGACAGGGGCAGTCATAGCCCTTACTGATAAAGATCAGGTGTTTCTGCCCTTCTGTGGCTAGAACTTCATCAGAAATATAAATTTCAACACAGCTTATTTATCAGGGAAATCTAGACAATCTATTGTAACTAAACAAAACACTGCCAGAAAAAGACTTTCCAATTGTAGGTTAAAAATTCTGTACCATCCACAAATCATCAGAAATCATACTCATGTACAGATATCTTTGGATTCATGTTTGAAATTACACTCCTCTAGATCCAAATTACAAAATTCCCCCTCCCTCAGTCTAACATACTGGTCTGGGACTGAAGTTCTTGCAAGTGTTGGAGAAGAACTACAAGAAAAGGCAAAGCCAGAATGGAAACAACAATAGATTCAGAAGATCTGGAAATGCTCTTTTCGTATAATATTAAAGAAAACCAGAACAAAGCTCCTAAGTGCTTCTGGGGAAGTGGTATAATATACTGTTTTGACATAGCAAACTCAGAGCCTGGTTAGACAACGCACGGAGACAAAAAGAATAGAAGATTCTACTTTCTACTTTTGATTAGGGTAACAAGTGGGAATTTGTCCTGATACGTTCAAATTAATCTCAGTTCTGAAGAATGTAACCGTTTCAGATATGTTTGGGTAGGGTTTTTTGTTTGCTTGTTTTCTGCACAGCAAGATCAGCTTTCCTTCCCTAGCTGACTGCATTCCTGGATCAAGCATTTACCTTAACTGAGACAAATGTCTCTGACCTACATACCCCCTAACACTGATTGATGAAGAACCTTTGTCTTGTGTTCCGTAAGACCCTATCCCATGTGTAGAATAACTTCTCCTACCATTAATTTCTTCTACGGTTTCAGTCCCATCCTCTAGAAGCCCACTAAAAAGCTGTCTACTTACCTGAGTAAAACTTTTAGCAGGAGTTGGTAGCCGTCATTACTTTCAAATTCTGTTAATAAAGCTGATGATATGGGATACGAATCTTTCACAAAGCACAAGACAATACTAGCAGCTTCACACACATCACAAGCAGGCAGGGTATCAGCCAGTTTAAAGAGATTCTGAATAGCTATTTTAATGCAGTCTACAGCTGGGGGAAAAACATAGTAAGTACTTAAGAACTGACAGTCAAACAAATTCAGAGTTACTCAGAAAAATAGAACAACAAGTTTGAAAAATAATTTCCCAGTAAAATTGCAGCAATTTAACTCTCTCTAGAAATAAAAGATAAGACGAGGATATATGCATATCATACCCATCTCAGAGGCTACATGAAGAACATTTCTGGTTTTAAAATATGCATGCACTTTGCTTAACTCCCAGAAACCGATTCAGTCTCAGGAGTATAAGCTTCCAACCCACCCACTCACCAAAATTCATATACAGTGAATTGCAGAACATAAGCAGAGGCTGACATATTTAATTGTCTTGTACTAAGTCAGTCATACGTTCTGTGCAGAGTTCACACATTAATTCTTTGCTCAACGAGGCATACGTAGTGGGGTATACACATCTTGCTCTGAGCAATGAAGCCTAGTTTTCTTGTCTAATCTGATGACCAGTCCTTCCAGCATAACTTCAAAACAGCTAAACAGTTCAATACTCTTAGAACTATGATTCCTTGGTCTTTCAATCTCACCCAGGAAACCAAATTTTTAATTTAATAATAAAAATACCTGTATGCAGTTACTCCATGCCAAGGAATACTGGCAGTAAAGTGTAAATTATAAAACTTTTTTTTTTTTCCCTTCTAACAGATGGAGATTCATTGCCTTTGCACTTGTAACAAAAAAATTGCTCACTCTAATAATGCCTAGGAAGAAATGAGGATGTAACTCAAGCAATCATGATGTTGTCCCAAAGGATACTGTTCCTCTGGCACTGCTCTCAACCTTGTATTTAGAATGCAAATGAGGCTTAGGTTCACACAATGATTCACACAACCTAAAAAAAAATAACACGTAACGCACCTCGTCTTTGGCTACATTAATGTGAACAAGTCACATTGACTCTTGCCTGTAATTTTATTTTTTCTGTAGAAAAAACTTCAGTTTCCAAATGGCTATCAGGATGAAATAAAGCTCCTGTCTAGAAAGCCAAGAGCCAATGTTTTGAAGTTGACTGACTACCAGATGATGAAGAGATAAAAATCTATCCCAAGGAGACTTTTCTTGAGAATTCATTCAGTGGAGCTATGAAGAAAGAAGCAGCCAAATGACTAAACCAAACCTTGTAGGTGCACAATGCTGTTTTTGGTCTGAGCCTTTGAAATTGTTCTCAGCACACGGCCTGTAGGTACTTTCCACGGGTGGCTACACTTATCCCAGAGGGAAGCAGTTGCTATAATTAATGATTGAAGCTTATCAGCTGCTAGAAGTTCCTCTACACATTGTTCCTCTCTGTACATGTTAAGCATTATCTGAAAAGCAAACAAACATCAGCTACAATAAACACCTCTACAAATATCTGCAAGATGAAGACAAATCCAGGGGCAGGGAGGGGGTGGGATTATAGTTTGATACTAATACCATGAGAAAGAATGCAGTGAAATGAACAAGTAAAACTACCACTAGGATATTCTCAATGGAATTGTTTTCCCACTTACAAAGTTATGATGTTTTGTTTAACAAAAGAAAAAAGACATATAGTGGCATCATCCCAGATCGATTTATACTGCTCCTGATGCTTGTTCAATGGTTTTCAGTGCAAATTTACTCCTTTTTTTTGGCAGTTTGAAGCAAACCGAGTACTAAGGGCAAGTGAATTCCCAGAGGTGCATCTCACCTTAACAAGCATTTCCTGAGTTTCAGTGTCTTCTTCACTTGTCTCTCCATCATCACTGGTTTTCTTCAGAGGAAAAGTAAAGAAAAGGTACAGACACTGGATCAGAGCAGCTGGAAGACCAGATCCAATGATGTTCCACATAGTTCTCTAAGTGAGGAAAACAAAAATCAGTCCCTACAGAAGCTGACCAGAGTTTCCTTGTGTTTCTACACACTGGGGGTAGTCATGGCAGATGAAAGAGTTACTTGAGCATTTTATCTTTACAAGCGCTCTAGGGCATATGAGCCTAGCAAACATATAGCATGGTGGTACAAATCCACTTGGCACAAGTAAACACACTGACCATGTGTTGCCATGGCTCATCTTAGGACTTCCTATGCCAGCTGAACTACCCTTTTGACAGAGATACTTACTATGTCCTGCATAAGGAGACCTACAGGCTGCCCTGCAGCTATAGGGGCCTGGTATGTTAAACACATGAATTCCCCATTCCCTCCTTGACCTAGAATAGCAGCCATTTAGCTGTAACACCTTTGCTTTTGTAACATATTGAACAACTGCACACACACTTCTAACTACAGCTTTTATAAATGCAAGAGACACTGTTTCTCCACAATGTTTCTCAACACTAAGTTTCTTCCCATCTTCACTACTGCTGTGTATAACTTACATAGAGGTCCCAGCATGTCTGCTTGGCACACAAAAAATCAAAACAAAATTCAGCAGCAGATTAAACAGAAGAGTGAGTTTTGTGATACAAAGTTTTGTGAGCGTGTGCTACAAAAAAGAGCAACGTCTTAAATCTGTGAAAAACACAAACCTCATCAGGAACCTCATGCTGTGACTAACTGCATACAATTTTATAGAGCTCTTTATACCACAGGATGTAGGACATGTCCAGTAGAAGCTGACAATAAGATTTTATTTTCATGTATCTGAATAAGGATGTGACAAATTGCGCCGGTCTATGTCAGGGATATATGTACCCCTGATGCCCATCAGCAGGCTGTACTGCTGATGCCAGTCTGCATGCAGGATGGCTGTACAAGTAGAGTTTGTGAAATGCTTTGAAATGCCTCAAAGTAAGAGGCTATCAGGATGGGAAATCCAGCCACTGCATTACCAGACAGACAGATGCTTACTAGTCATCTCCGATGGAGTGACAAGGAAAGGTGGAAGAGCAGTGATACATCATGGAGGAAAAAAATTAAAAATCAGAGGAACACTAGGAAAAAACAGTTGTCTGATGAACAAAACGGGTATCTGAAAGCACAGAGCACTTATTTCAGAAAAGCCTAGACTATAAACCCAGTGGTATGTCCTCTAACTGTGTACCGTGAGCATGCTGAAGCTCAGAGTTGGGGACAATGCAAACATAAGACTTAGGTGCTACTCAGCTTCTCTGAAATAAAAGCAAAAACCTAACCAAAATCTTTTGTAGTCTTATCAAGACTCTTACCAAGTCAGTCTGTGAGAGCAGATATACTGATTTCAGAAGTAAATGGCCATCTTCTGCTTCTCCTTTCTTTTGTAGCAATTGTTCCAAAGCCAGACGAGCTTCCTCTGTTACCACAAAAACATTAAACTTTAATTCCTTAATGAAAGATGAAAATGCTGCATTAATCCTTTCTTAACAGACCTGACAAACTTAACGAAATTACAGTAGCAGGAATCCACTGAAGTGAACATAAGGACATAAAAGGATTTTAAAACAACATCAGGCTCAGGTCAGTTCATGTAAACTACATGTTTCAAACTAACAAGCTTCACTGGGCATACCAGCTCAGTTCATGAAGTCTGCCAGCTGCCCAGTGCAAAGAATGTACAACAGCCACCATGAAAGCTATGTGTGGCTAGCAATATTTTTCTCATTAAAGAAAGCTCCTCAGAATATCATGTGGCCTCTTTTACTGCATTGCTGCAGTGTTGTACAATTCCAGCTACAAAAGTTCCAAACCCAAGGTCAGCATGGCATACAAGGCCAGACCTTCAGTGCAATCTAACTCAAAGATCAGGCTTGCTACACTTAGCATTTTCCTGTTCCCCTTTGGTAAACACAAAGGAAAGCTGAATGACAACGTATACTCAGAATAAGTGAATCCAGTCGATATGGTATGGGATCATTACCTGCAGGTTTACCATTGAGGTTCCTCTTAATTTCTTTTGTCAGAAGCTTGGAAACCTCACTGGCTAACAGCTGAATGTTGGGGAATATGATTACTCCAGCAGACTCTTCCCAGGCCTGAAATCCAAGTGTAACTGTTAAGTCTTTCTGATACAGCATGTTTTTTCTAGATTGAGAAGAACTAATACAAATACACAAACATAAAGCTAACATTGCCCTGCAAAATTCCCTCCCCAGACAGTGTAATTCATTAAGCAGTATTTGCCAAACAGGCAGGACCCTGAAAATACAGATACAGAAGTCAACCTGGAACTACCTTTTGAATCACATAATGCACCTACTAGAGACCATTTACATTATTTTATCCATTTATTGCAATCAAAACAATGTAAATGTTTGTCATAGCACCTGTTTCACTAATCATTTGTATCAAAAAGCATGCTAGTCCCTTTTGAAATACAACATAAACACCTTGTACCCTGAAGGGGTTATGGCTACAGGTCCAAGGTTTTTTCAGTAAAAGTATCTCCTTCTCTAAAAAACTGGTCTCCCCAGAACTAAAGTTAATCATAAACCTAATCTGAGTTTTCAGTTGAATAAAAATTAAAAATAAAAATTTAATTTTCTCTGTTCAGCAAGTCATTGTACAGTCTTAGCTACTTAGGGACTGAAATGGGACTGGAACCGTTGCTTGCATGAAGCATTTGCAACAGATCTGTCAAAAAGAAACCATGGCAATACAGGACTACTGCTCCTAGACAGCAGTATACTGGCCAAGATTCACCTGAAACTGAACTGTTTCTTTCAAGTCAATAAATTTATAAAAATCACAGAAGGAACAAACAAGCAAATTTTTTTGTTTGTTTTGTTTGGAGTTGTGGGAGGGGTTTTGTGTGTTTTGTTTGGGGTTTTTTTCATTGTTGTTCTTGTTTTTAATACATTCATAAAGTTTACACCTTTTAATTCTATTCTATTTTGGGAGAAAAGTAAGGTTCATAAAACCAGCATTTCTTGACAGACAGAAATAATCTTCGGTGCCAACTAAGGAAATGAAAGAAAACATAGGAAAAGGAGCTGAAAAACAGAGTAATATTCGAGTCCAAAAGGCACTGGATCTGATTTTGCAGCAATATGAGTTGCCTAACCCATCTGTCTAATGAGGTTGAGATGTATGCTGCCACACCTGGAGTGACAACTCTGTCTAGCTAGGCCTTTACATTACAAGACAGCTTACGTCATGAGTACAGACCTGTGCTAACATACAGGAAAAGATGCACTTCTGAAATGCTGAGATGACGACACTAAATGCTTGCCAGATCAGGATTCCTAAACATTTCCTATGCTATAATAAGCTCGCCTAAACAGGAAGGTACAGTCCTAAATGCATAGCTAGCCAAGGGTAACAAATTTATAGGCAAATTCATAAACATTGACACAAGGAAAACAAGAAGACTTAACGGTTCCCTCCTCGGAGTCTGACAAACAGATCCTATCTCAAATGTTTCTTAGCCCTGACCTTACAGGAAAAAAAAAATCAAAAGCAATAAAAAAATATTCCAGTAGACTAATACTATCACACTCAACTGGCCTCTGAGAATCAGGTACCGTTACCTTTTATATAGAACATCTGATGATATACACATCAGTGTATCTGCAATAGTGCAGCATTCACCTCTAAATACCAGGCTGAGACACCTCTGTCCCCAGCAACCTTGAAAATATTCCTTACAGAAGTCTCCTTCTAAAAGCTCAGAAAAATCAAGCTGTAAGGCCAGATGATGAAAGGAAGGTAACAAAAATAACAAGACATCTGTTCTCTTAAAGTAATCTGGAGCAGACACCCCATAAAACTGTCTGCCAAGAAATCAGTGCAACTCTTTGTGAAAGGAGATCCTCTACAAACATTATTTCCTTTCCTTTCCTACCAATGCTTTCAATTACATGTTCTTTCTTTGCTGATGGCAGCTTGTGGACCAGCTATTTCTTTCCCCACAAAGTGCCAGTCGTCTGTCACTAATCAGGCAAGCACCTACTTTCTATTTCATTTTACTGCACTGACCTCTGGAACTGCACCTTTTTTCTGGGCAACGAAAGAGTGAAATGCAAATGCACAGTGTGCCTATCCATTAATTTTCAAACAATCAACAACATTAAAAAAACAAGCTAGTTTTTCCACGTTTTGACCATAAACAATTTTCAGAGACCCTCAGCTGCAGGAACAAAGTCCACTGATTCCTCCACTTCTGATGCAGAAGTGAGGGAAGATCTGTAAAGAACAGAAGTGAACTTGGCAAACACAACGACAAGAAACCCAGAGCCACTTAAAAATATACAACGTTTGTCATTAAGCTATACCCTTCTTCAGAAGAAAGCAGTGATAGATTTCTGCCCCTCTGCCTCAGGGGAACATGCTCTCAACACTTCAGAAAGGACTTATTATATGCACTCTTTTGCTAACAAAAAAAGATGGGTAGATTTTGGAAGTTCAGGCCACACACAGCAGAGAAAAGTAATAAAATCATAGCATTGCTATAATCCATTGTGCAAATATTTAGCTAGTCCATCTCACTATAGACCAGGCCACTAATGTTCTGATCTGATATTATGTGGGATCTTCCTGTGGGGCAAACACCAATCTCTAGAATATGCTGTCCTTTAAGAACAGGCCTAATCAGTTCCTTATTCATATTTGAGTCTATAAAAGGTCTGTGTCTGGAAGAACATCAATCTGACTCCTTTCCAGGATGTCTGCCTTCAGGGGAAACTCAAATAATATGGTATCAATGTAATCTGATTTTCTTTCTTCCTCTTAAGCCTGTTTCTGCATGTTTAAGATTCTGCCACAAGCTCCCTGTGTCTGCTGTTGCCATCTGTCCATGCTTCATGGAGAGATGCTAGCTCAAAAGCCAGCCATGTAATGGAACATTCTGATATCCTCTGAGGCACCAAAAGGGATGCTACAGAGGGCATATTAAAATGACTCCCAGCTAGGCCTGAATCACAAGCAGATGGCTAATATTTTTTTCTCCTACACCTTTTCCTCCTACATCAAGGAGTATCAGTGACTAATGAGACTCCACATCCGGGTGCCTTCTGGTTAGTGTCATGTCTCTCCAGACAACTAAGTAAGAGCTAAAGCACTGTAAGACAAAATGACAGAGATGCACCGGCATCTGTGTGATCAAACAAGATATGAAAATCCTCCAAGAAGGGAGAGGACTTATGCAGAGTCCCCTGTTAAACAGGAGGAAGCAAGGTAGTTTCTATAAGAACTTCATAACATGTACAACTCAAAATGAGATGTGTTTTCCCCAGCCAGCCCAGGGGCTTAGCAGAAAGCAGAAGGCTGGTACATGAAAGGAGTCATATGGGGAAGGACATGATGACTCAAAGCTGAAGGGCCAGATCCTAAATCCATGATACAAGACCAATATGCTCCAGCCATGCATCTGAACCTAAATGCCTACAAAGTACTGCAAAACCCCACTGATACATCTAAGAGAAGTGAAGGGGAAAAATCTCTCTCTTAGGGCACAAAATCAAGTGTTAAGATAATGAGAAATTCACATGTCCAATCTAAATATATTCTGTAGAAAAAATATTATTTAGGAATCTAAAGTCTCCTCTTTTGAGCATTACTGAAATTCAGGGAATCACTTTCTACAGTCCTAAAGTGTGTGAAGTTCAGCCATACATAATGGAAACACATGATGGATATGCATATGTACAACATTGCCAGTCTCTTAGCAACATTCATCTTGCCTTCTGGGGGATAATTGTCCTTTGACCCACTGGTACTAAAATTTATTTCTCATCTGTCATGATAAATAAGTGATTTCCTGCTTTGCTGTCCAATTTTTAATTCCTAAGACCTCTGTATTTTATATCTTTCAGCATCTTTATTCAGTAACTACAACTTCCTCAGTCCACAGAAAGTTTCATTCCAAAAAATGACCTTCCCATGGAAAGCATTCTTATCATTCATACTTAATGATCAACAAATCGGAAGTTGTTCTATGTAATCTTACCTTGCCAAGACTTGCTTACTTCATGTTTACTATGTAGATTCAAAACAAAAAGCCACAACATAAGTCAGAAACCTTAAAACCTGAGAATTTCGATTTCATTGTGAATTTGAGGCAGGAAAACCTCAGCAGAAGAATTTTACAAAAAGCCTGCCATACATTGCTTATGGGGGAAGGGGGTGGAGGGGCAGCACAGCAAAGCCTATCTTTGTTGGGAAGAATTTATACCCTCAAAGCAGTAAGAATATATGTTTTCAATGGAGCTTCAAGAAGAAGGAAGACAGGAGGTCAGAAAACAGCTCTGCTGTCTCAGAGAAAGAACAGTGCATTTATCAGCAAGCCATTTAAAAAGTAGTTCCATGGAATAAGGTGCTCCTCTACAGAATTATCAGTCCTGCTATGACTTTAAAAAGCATTTTTGAAGGCTAAGGAAGGAATACTGCCCTGCTGCAAAGCCAGAATTTTGGTGAGCTGAGAAAGCAGTGGTGAGCTCCCAAGAGAGCCCAGTCTGTCCCAGCACACGTAATGCCATATGTAGAGAGCAAGAGATTAATTTCCAGTGACAGGCATGTACACAAAGCAACATCCCTTCTGCTCAAATATAGCCTTTGGTTCAGGAGGAGCACTCTTCTATGCAAACAAATGCAGAATTTGAGAGAAAGTGGTGAAAAGTGAAAGCTTTCTTCAATAATCATAAAATATCTGTAGAGCCATTTAGATTAAATGAGAAGGCTGCTTCTGAGACTCCAAGCTATACACTCCCATTTTCAGACCCTTGCATTCATTTTGTCTGCACTGCGTTGGACCAGGGCAAGCTTGTACTCAAACACAGCAAACTCTTCACTACAGGCATCACCAGATCACCCACAACTCAATTGTTTGTATTGCACCAACACCAATGAGTGACCTGCTTCACTGCTGTTAACACCACCAGCATCTACAGCAATTTCCAAGTCCTGCTCTGCACCAGGACTTAAAAGCTGCATAGGTTCATGCTCCATCCGAGTGATATGTTTATGACTATTCCTGTTTAACTGTCATGGACTCCAAAGATTTCATAGTCCTGAGCACAGTGATTTCCCTGCACGTGCAGTTCAAAATGTCCCTCTCACTACAGAATATCACTTTCTGTGTCCCACAGTGCTTCTGTATAAACAGAGTGACCATGTCATCAGCTGCTTTTTCCTCACCTCCCCACTGACTTCTCTTTAGAAAACTAACTCAGATCAATCTCTTCCATACCTTTCTGAGTTTGGTCACTTATGAATACTGAAAACTCACAAGTACAAATGGCTGAAATCTGTACTTAAAATATGGTTTCACCAAAAAGAAGGTTTTATTTTCATTCTGAAAGACCTACATAGTGAGAGACTGTAAAAATGCAGATTCCATACCCATAAATACTGAAGGTAATTCAAGAGAAAAACAATTCTTCTGTAGTACAACATGGCCACAGTACATTTAAAGATAGCCCAGGTTTTCTGCTCCTCTCAGTATAAGCTCTGCCATGCTTTTGCTGCATGGTCCACTCAAACAGTTCCCTGTATGCGTCACTCATCCTAGCAAACAAAACCAATCCATAAGGCTCTAATTCATTACAGAGCTCTTCCAGTTTCACCCTTCAATATGGCCATCAGAAATGGCTGGTCGATGGAAGGTCTAGGGCATAGGGTAGGGCTGCCTGATAACTAAAATGTTCTAGTTCTTAGCTGTGTTACTCACCCACAGTATGACCTTCCTCTCCTCATGCCAGTTTCCTGTCTATAACACAGATGCTCTCAAACACTAAAATTCAACATGAGCACTGTCATTAACCCAAAACTTCCACTTAAGACTGTACCCCTGCATTTCCACTAGCTGGCTGTATGCCACAACCACATTTTTTCAGACTGAAACTCTGCTTAACCTCCCATTAAGTAATAATGTAGATGAGGCAGACATGAAGTGACTTCTTCATGACAGGGTACTCACTTTGAAAGATGCCTATCTTACCAACATATCCCTTGACTCCAAGAGTAGAATTTAGTCATCCCTGAAAGTAAAGCAGTGCTCATCAACATACTTCTCTCATGCTAACATAGCAGGTTAGTTAGATGAAGGGAGGACAAGAAACTGTTTCCTCCGGCTCTCAATGGAATGAAAGTAATTATCACCTAGACAAAGGGATCGTGCTCCAGTTAACTCAACTGGCAGTTAGGATGACCACAGAATGGATAGAGCAACAGAAACTCAAATTTACATCCTTGGCATCTGCCCCAAAGGCAACAGGGAGAACAAACCTTTAAGAAGAGGGGAAGAAAGTCCAGCAGCCTTCTCTGTTGCTCCTCAGGGATGAGAAATGGAGCCACCTGCTCATACTCTACAAACTGTCTGCCTAGAGTCTCCCACTGGAGGGTATGGCTCTGAGGTGCCTTGTCCTTGCTGCATGCAGGCTGTCCCAACACTTCTGCACTGTCTCCATCATCAGGGCTTTGCTCTTGCTGTCCTACTTTGTTAGGTGAATCCTCCAGCTGCCACATGAGTTCAGCTGCTTTGTCCATGCTGAAGTGAGACCTGAAATTAAAGATAGTGTGTTATTTACAGTTAGCAACAACTCTTACTGATCAACTATTCCATAAAACTACACACTGACAGTCTTAATTATTGGAGTTGGAGTTGTCTTCTCCTGGACTAGAGCACTACCACCTTGCAACCACATGAACAAGCTCTCTCCTATGAGCTGGGTACTACACAAATCATCAGGGCTCTGGCAAGACGAACTGGTAAACCATGCAGGAAATGTGAATTCCAGCCTCAGCTTTGCTACTGAGCCTATATTTCAGTCACCCCAATGATAAAACAAGCCCTATTACCATCATCAGATCTGCAACAGAAGAGCACTATCCAAGAGCCAGATTACACATTTCATTGAGTATGGATGCTAAACCAAGCTGCACATCTCTGATGCAGTCCCCACCCAGAGTCAGACTGAAGCACTAGCTGGAATGGGAGTGTGTGGAAAAGCCGAGGATTCTTGACATGGGTGGGCTGGCCCACACAGGCAGCAACATTCAGCTCTTCTGCCCTGCAGATGTACGTCTGTGTACAAGAGGTAGGTATTTTCACTACAACATCACCTCTTCTGCTGATCCTGCAAACTGAAATGGATATGCCTCAATGAAGGAGCAAGGTGCGTCTAGCAGCCTCATTACCATCAGATTGAACCTACAATGGGACCATCTTGTACTATATGTAGAGGAACCCTTCTGGTACTATAATCTCAACCCCAAGTCCTTCCATCTACTTTCCAGCCCTGTTTTCATCTATAATCACCTGGGAGGTCACTGACACAGCCCTGAATACACAGCAACCTTACTCCTTTGCCATAACCTTCTGTGATCTCACCCTGCTACCCATAGCCTACATAATGACAATGTTTACACGAATGGAAATAAGGCTTTCCAGGTTCCATCAGAATCAACATTATGCCTATCAGTGTCTAGGACATTGTCTGACTACTCAAAATATGACACACAAATTATCATAGTGTGGGCAGACAGCTGGGGAGTTGTCACTAATATGAAGGTGGATCATACTTACCCAGTGTATTGTCTTTTAGGAGACTAGAATAATCTTTAACACATCATTACATTTTCTCAAAGAAAAACACCAATATACCTCCATGTCTAGGAAATAGTTTTTCCCCTCCACAATGTCTCTTTGACTGCCATTCTAGCTTGTCAATAAAAATGACAGAAAGCAATGCAACTAAAAAACTGAGGCAGATTTCCTGTACTACCAATACATAGACCCCTTAATATAATTTTTTAAAAATACTATTATGCCCCCTGATTTAGAAATTATGAGCCAACGTTAATACTGTATTTGGGTTTCTCTTCCTTCGCCTTCCATCAGTTACACAGATTGCACACTGCTTGCATCCTGCCCACTCCAAGTTAGATGAACCAGTTTCACTTCCACACTCGAGCAGTAGCTCCATATTGCAGAGATGAAGAGCATGGCATTATCTTGTCACTGTGCAGCACACTGACTGCAGCAAGCTGACAGTCCCAGCAGACAGCTATGCTTGTATACAAATGCTGATCCTTCATGCTACAGCAGAAAGTAACTTATTCCACCACAGCCCATACTCTGTTTTTCAGTAGGAGATGGAGGGCTATGAAATGTCAGTCGGTCTCCAGGGATGTCAATCTGGAACTTCCTACCTCAACAACATTTTGAGATTCGTTGCTGTGGTTTTCGTTAATTATCTGTGTTACAACAACACAGCCCTGTGAGCAGAAAAAGTGTGATGACTGTCTGCACAGAGTGAGCAGGAAGATTCTGTTCCTCATGACAGTGTGGGAGGTATATTTGTCATATGTTATACTGTTAACATCATCCCCTGGTATGGGGTTTTGGCCCACTTGAGTCATCATGAAGCTGTACAGTGTGTTGAGAAAGCCTGTGTACTGTTCTAGAGGATTTGGTAAACATAGTTCAGAGTTACTTTTTCAATTAATCTGCTCTTGCATCCCAAATGGCACCATTCTCTTCCTAAGGAAAATCTTTCACCTTGAAAGCTACTCTGCTGAGCCTAAATCAATCCTAAGTAAGAAGTAACTTGATCCCAGTGCCTACATTCACCTTGGTCATTTGTACAGAGAAGCCCAAAATCCGTTACGGAGGCATTTTACAGATGGTGGAACTGAGGCATGTAGAGGTGAAATAAAGTGCTTACACTGGCCTCAGAAGGTCAGTGACTGACCAATCAATGGCACTGCAAATGTGTTTACCAATTTCCTCTCTTTCTGTTCATCATTTACTTAACAGGCCTTTCTTGCTGGAGACAGCTAAGCCAAGAGGGGCTGGTCAGTCCAAAAATGCTCACTATGGATCTGTGTAATAAAATAATTCTTCCCCTCTCCATAGAAACTATTGAAACACACAACTTCATTAATGAAGACCTAATTGTAACAGACTATGTAAGACATTCGAATGTACATGGAAATCTTTATTCTCCAGAAGTACATAAAAGCCAAATGAGCACTACATTTTGCCTCCTTATTTACTCCAACTGTCTAGACTACAAGAGACACATTAGGCTAAATATCAGTTATCTAGTATTAGTCTGTTGCCTCCATTTGTGCTATCTGCTTTAAATATTCCTTCTCCGAACAGCCTTTTCTTTGCGCCTACAATTTCATTTGGACTTATAAATCCTTTGTGTTTTCTATTCCTCCTGGAGCATAATTATTCTTCTAGGCCAATCACAATATCACAGGGTCCAGCATTCAAGTATCACTGATGTTTAGGATAGCTTAGATATTTTGAAAAGTTTTTATATGTTGGCTCTCTTCTACAACCCACCATTTCTTCTGATCCTCAGTGTAAATTAATGGCTTATTTCAGTTACGATAAGTTATACATATCACAATGATACAAAAAATGAAGTCTAAATAATAAAGATTTTAAATGTCATGAAAGTGAAAATATATCACAGAAGCCTGATGCTATCATTCAGAAAGTCGTGTCAGGTAGCAGAGAGGAAGTGGAACTTATTCACGTATTTTCCCTTTTATTCTAAATTAAGCTTCTATGAAATCACACTTCAGTGTGGCTACGCCTTTTCAGACTGATAAAACAAAAGGGAAGAAAGGCCTGACCAAAGCTGGCAGAAGGACAAGCAGAACACTGATACTAAATCTTACTGGCTGAAAAAGCATGATTTTTTAAATGACATTTTTTTTATATTTATCTGCAATTAAGTCTCCCAGCAGCCCAAAGAATGATCCCATACAGCTACAAAATCCCAATTTGCACCAAGATCAAGAATTTTATTTATATATTTAAAATCATTTGTTATCAGAGAATGGTCTCACAGCAAGATGGTTGACCAAAACACAATCAAGCCTCATACCAAACTTCCGAGTTTGGTCCACTTTTTACGGTAAGTATCTGAAAAAAATGACAGATATTTAAGTGAGCATGGAGATCTTTAATCTCCAAAAGTATATGAAAGCAAAATGAGCACTACAATTTGCCTCCTTATTTACTCCAACTGTCCAGATGACAAGAGGCATATTAGAATAAATATCAGACCCCTAGTACTAGGACTACATGTTGTAACCATTCCTTCTAGTAATAGCTTTTTCTTGATTATTAAAATCCAGGATTCTGGTGGCTATCAGAAACACATGGTTCACAGCACTGTGTGATACCTCTCTGTACCTCTTCCTTTCCTTGGCAGCCAAGATAAATCTGTTTAAACAGTCATACTAGTCAATCAATTTAAATGCTAAAAGCAGGGATTCCACTGCCTCTGAGGAAAGCTGTCTGAGGCCATAACAGACTCAAGCAGTAGAAGGCACTGCTTGTAGCTTTTATGACCCTCTTCTCATAAATTCTAGTTCTCTCCCAATTCAATCACAAACTCCCTCTTTGTGACTCACACCACCCTGTGTTCACAGGAATTGACAATGACAGAATTAACACTGTGCCAGATGCTCTTCGTGTACTCATGCTCTTATCTCTGCCCCTCCTAATCACCTCGGTTCTTTGTCCCTGAGCTCTCTGTGCTTTTCTTAAATTATCAACATCTCTCAGTCCTCTGTCTAGTGATCTTTCTTGATGTAAACCTAAAAACACCACCAAAAATATTTATATTTTGATGTCCCTATCTTCTCCAATACAAGCACTGCACTGAATTAAAACAAGTTGCAAAATTCAATATCCTACCCGTCTTTGCCAGGTCCATTTAACTGTGAATTCTATAGCGAAGGTATTCTCTCTTCCTAAATTCTGGCAGAGCACAATACAATAGGAGGCACCTGTCTGGTGCCTTGAAATACAAATAGCTGACAAAATACAAATAACAGAGGGGGTTTGAAACATTTGTCAGCTTAGAGAAGGTGGAATACTATTCAAAGAACAGTTCCATTTCAGTAGAACATGGGCCCTACTTTTTTAACAATATAATTTCATCTTGTTTCAAGGTGTGAAACTATTACTACCACAGGAGTTGCATTCATTTACATCAGGATCTCATTTGTCCAAGCATATTTTTACTTTTTTGAGTACATCTAAATAGGACAAGGCATTTCTGCAGTACAACTTCACAAATCATTATCTCAGGTACAAACACCTAACTGTATTTCTCTTTATTTTTGTTTGAAATTCAAAAATAGCTATAAAACTGACAGGCTCTCTCATGTACCCACTCTTCACTTTTTCTGTTTTAAAATGTAGCTTCTAAATATCTCATTTGGAACAGTTTCCTCTCTGACTTGCATATACCCCTACTGCAGCCAAGAGAGAAGCAGAGATATTGAGTATACTTGCTTTTGAGATGAGGTCCTCCTGAAAGTGAAGTAATGCTCCCATCTCAGGAGCAAACAACATTTCTGGTCAGTTCACAGACAACATAATTGTAACAAAATCAAAGGAACAAGACCAGGGCAATTCTGATCATCTCAAAACAACAGATCATTAGATGAGGACATGCAGCTAAACCAAACCTAACAAGTCTCCACTCGCAGCAGCAGCAGATATATCCCTTACATCTACAGTCCTAT